CCCAAAGCAAAAACGCCGACTGCTGTGCTTCTCTTTGACCAACTGCCAATCTCCCCAAGAAGCTGACAAGCACAAGGGCGAAAAGAAAATGCCTGTCCAGCAACCTGAATCTCTTCACAACATAAGTGTCCTTACTCCGTCGTGATTTTAACCGTCTCCAATCACCACAAGCGTGTCTTTGGAATATGAGATTGATGGGCTCTGAAGAGAATGGTCACCATCACGAGGCTAATCACCCTTTCTCTAAATAAGGCTGTCCCCATGACTACATTGTCACTTTAAGCCACGGCTACCAGCCAGGGTTCTTCTCGGGCTCCGGAAGCACTGGGATACATGGTGTCTGTCTTTCTTAGGGACCCCCCCACCCCCCCACCCCCGAGAAAAAAAAGGAAAAAACGCGTGGCTGTCCTCTTGGCACTCCTTTAAAACCACCAAAAAGAGATACCCCCCCAAAAAAAAAACACGCCTATGTCTAGGTCTCGTTCATGATGGCGGGCCCCCTGGTTCTCCATTCTTGGCAACTGGAAGCATTGGCTTCTGAGACGATTCGGCTGCCTTGACGATGTTGTAGATCTGAGGGAGCTTCATGATGCAGCTCCTCGCGACATCGCTAGCTGTTCCCCAAGCCTCGACTCAAAACCGGTCGGTGAAATGGTCGATCCCCGCAACCATGCTTCAAGAAAGGCGAAGGCACCCACTTATGGTTGGGATTATCCCTTGCTAGCCTTCATCTACTTCTGATTGACTAACCCTGACCCTTGAGGGGCCTGGCAGTCTCACTCTTGCCGTGGAAGGCTTCGTATGCGCGGGATCACGAAGCGGAACCCTTCAAACATGCGCAATGGCGGTATACCCTCCCTTCCACTAACATGACACCGCTGGGAGGGTACCTGGAAGATTGGTTTCCTCTTGAAGGGACCCCATGTCTGGTGCTATGTTAGTTGGAGGGGGGGTAAATCTTCTCCATTCTGGGCCTGATGCAGATCACTTCTTTGGAGCCTGGAGTATCCACCCATCATCTGTCCGCTATGGGCTCCGTTAAAACCAGCCCCCGCCCAAAATCACCCCCGCAACCCGCGCTGAAAAGCCGAAAACCCGGCCTCGCCCCCCGATCTCATTTTGAACTCAGCGCTTCGCGGCAACTCCGGGCCTCCCATTTGCCGAAAATCAGATGCGCAGGAGGGATCTCACAGGATTCTGATCACGTCACCGAACTGAAAACCGGTCAACTCAGAGATTCTTGGATTTTCCTGGACCTGTGCAAAACATGTTGGTTGCTTCCTTCTGGCCTGCTCAAAAAGGCCAAACGTGTTTAACATGGCCAAACCGAGTAACCTTATCCCCATCAAAGCAGCCGATTCATGGCTGGTTCAGCCGGACTCGGACCCAAAAATGGTTGGAATCCTTTTGCTTTTTCCTCTTTAAAATGGGCCCACAAAGGGGCGCCCTCAAAAGAAACACAAAAAAGCAAATTGCGGGGATTGCCATACTTGGAGACAGAATCCAAATCTATGACACCTTTTCAGCAAACGGAAGTCGCTGTGAAACCGCCGCTGGTGAAACCGGCGCAACAGCACCGATGACTGGCACCGATGACTGGCTGCATCGTAGGCTGAAAGGCGGAAGCTGGCAGCGGAGTTCTGCAAATTCTTTTGTTCCGAAACCTACACTCGGTGGCTTTCTGCTCCCCTGCTAAAAGTGAATAACTTTTAGCGGTTTAATGGCAAACCCATTGGTTGGCAAAAAGTTAAAGTCCTGACATCCCTTGGCAAAATGCACCAAAATACTGTGGATGGACGCAATCGTGCACCAAAAAAACAACCATGGAAAACCACGGTTTGTTGGTATTTGCAGGGTGTCTTTGGTGGTGCGAAATGGATTTCGTGCGTCCACGGTAGGTCCTGGTACCTCCATCATAGTGAGCTTGTTGTAGCCCGCTTGCCAAAAAAGTGGCAAGGGAAACCAACATGTCATATCCAAGTTGCCTCTGGTGAGTTTCTTTGACCATATATTCACAAACGCTCGCCAGGGTGCTCCAAATAGGCTGTGCGCCGTTCTTTGGTCACTCCCTCCGATCGAATCAGGGTGTGACTGACCAAGGTTTCTTTGTCGCATTTCGAGGACCCCATGTTTGTCCGTCCTTTCCAAAAACCCACCGGTGACACCCAAGTTGGAAACAGCTTGAACAGAAGGATGGTGCAAAAGAATGGCTGCAAGTTGCAATCAATCCCTCAAGTCACCCTCCCTCCCGCTAACATGGCAACTGACAGGGGTACCCTCCCACATGTGCTATGTTTGTGGTAGGGAGGCTAATGGCAATGAGCAGCCTGCTGGTTCACAAACCCTGCGAGGCAGACAAAACCAAATGCTGCAGGATCTAGAGAACAACGTTTGGTACATTAGCTGATCGACAATACAAGTAAACCCGTGGTTGCTCAACAGGGGAAACAATCCACGTTTGAGGGAACATTCACTTGGAGGAACCGGTTCCCCTCGCCGGCTCAGGCGCGCAATTCCAAACATCTTGCTTCAGGGATCAGGGAAAAAAATCCAGGGACGTAATTTTCCTCCATTCGGTCTCCCCCGGCTCCTGTTTACGCTGGTAAACTGCAAGAGGGACCTGCCTGGCCCAAAACAGAACTAGGAAAATCAATCAGGAGCTCTTGAAACTGCTTTTTTGGCAAACTGATGGTGTCTTTCCCCGGAACTGGGCAAGCTCAGCAAGTTAGTATTTGGAACACTGGTAGACTTACCCCGTAAACACCGTCTGAAAGGTCTACTTCTTTCTTGCATTTGCGGAGACAACTCCTTCAACCCCGAGTCTCCAAGTCGTGCGCCGCTCTGGAAGTCTTTCAGCATGGGTTCTCACCCTCACAGGACATACCTTCACAGCAAAGAGGGGGCAAGGGTCTGGTTGTAAAGGGGTAAGCCTTGACTCCCCAACCGTTCCTGTTTTGGTGGCCTGGGTCTTGTAATTCAGAGAATTACCCATTGCTTTTCTTAAGTGGGCCTGGATCAGGAAATTCTGGCAGAACCTTGGTGTGTTGTTGCAGCCAAGAATCCGGATTTCCGATACCGTTAAAGAAGGTTGTAATATGGCTATGTTTTGCTTGGTGAGCAAAACTCTCCCCAATATTTCGCTGACCTACAAATGTCCGCCAAAGCGCTCCCATTAAAAAAGTAGCATCCACATAACACAAGGGGCCAAAGAACTACCAATCCTAAGCCCGCACTAAGCACTCTAATAAGCCCACCTTAACCTCCCCCGCCCCGAGCAAACCCTGTACCAACCCTAACTCCCCCCACTAAACCCACCCTTGCGCCTACAATCGTGACCACATGCGGCGTTTAAGTACCCAATGCTGGTTTTAAGGGTCCCTACCCTCCCATCCACAAAAAAAGCCGTGTTAGTGGACCAGAGGTGCTTTGACTTGCTGGTGCGATAGATAGGGAATGAACCGGGGGATTTACAGGAAACCGCCAGTTGGATGGTTTATGGGGGTCTTTCCATGTCTCGCATCGCTAGCAAGCTAAGACACACCCTCGCTCGCTCCGATCGCAGGCCCAGCTGCGGGCTGGGAGTGCGCCGCTGCTCGGAGCGGTGCTCCGCCGGCGCCAAGGCGCCCACCCTGCGCCATCGGAAAGGCAAGGACGTGAGTCCCGACTTCCGTGGTGTGTCTGGTTTTTACAAAACCCTCGACTCACACTAAGCTGAGGTGGTCGCAATCATTTGCCCAGACACAACCAACACTGTAACACTGGCTTGTCATCCCATTCATCAGATTTCGCTATGTCGGTATGTCCCCAAAGCCTCTCCCCTTTGAGCACCCCAAAACTCGGTGGCTTTCTGCTCCCCTGCTAAAAGTGACTAACTCTTAGTGCTTTAATTTGGAACACCACTAAAGTTAGCAAAAAGTTAAAGTCCTAACATCCCCTGGCAAAATGCAACAAAGACAAGCCATGGGCATCTCCCCGCCCGAAGACGAGCTCCGTTTGGTTTTGCCAAGGCGCGAGGCGCAGGGCCGCAGCAGGGCCTGGGCCGTGGCGCTCAGCGGCGGCGACCTGCCGAGAACGCGGCGAGCGCAAAACGCCACGGAGGCGTTCGTGGGGTACGTGACAGCGACGCTTCTCGGGCTTTAAATGGAAACAACGCAACCATATCGGGGGTTCTAGGCGCGATTTTGTTTTTCCTTTTTTGTTGGGGGTACCGGGTCTCTTGGGTGTGTTCCCCGCGGAAAAAAATAATAATCAAAAAACAAGGTGAAAGGGGTAGCCTCAACAACAGCACAAGACCATTTACAGAGTGGGGGCCTGGTGGGTGTGTTGGATCTTTGTTTAGTGTTTGCTGAGGCTCGGAACCCCCTATTTCGGTGTCTCTCTTTTCGAGGCTCGATGTTTGTTGAGACGAACCCATTTAGCCTTTCGCAGAAAAGGAAGGGTATTTTTATACCCTTCCTTTTTGTACAGATCTCCTGGACCTTATGAAATGGAGAGTTACCTTATGATTTTCTGGAGGCAACTTCTGCCTTTCTTTGTGGTCCTCCTCCCTCCCCGGCGCGGAGGACACGTAGAGGCTATGTTGCAGCCTCAACACCTTAGTTCTTCCACTTACCATTGGAAAACGTTCTAAGGAAGGTTCTGGTCAGGTTGGCTGAACCCTTAAACAAAAGCCGAAACAAATCCTCCCGCCCTTTCTCCTTTTTCGGCGCGCTCGGTCTCGACTCAGGTCGACAGCGTCGAGGTCGACGGCTCAAGCGCGATGAATTTTGTGAACCAACGGAGTACGTTTCTCGGGTAACCAGTAACCAGTCAAACCCCTTCCTCCCCCCCCCCCCCCCCCCCCGTGCCATGGACACCTAGAGTGCATTTTGCAACCATACTCAAAAAAAACTTTAAAAGAAGGAGGTTGCAAAATAGACCCTAAGTGTCCACCATATCTCCCCCCCCTCCGCTTTGGTTCCCAAGACTTCAACCACTCAACGCCATGCGCTTTATCGCCGTCAGGCGTTGAGCCGGGCGCGCATGTGCGCCGCGAGCTCCGCGCTCTCCTCCAGGCCGTGCTCCTCGCAGAAGCGCCGCGCCAACTCCTCGTGCCGCGATGGGCGGAGCTGGGCGGACGGCGAGCGGTTTGGAAGGTCCGGGGCCCAAAAGGAGTGCTGAGCAGCTGTGGAAAAAGGCAGCTGCCATTGTTTTCTCAAAACTCATGACAATTAATATACATATATATATATATATGTATATATATATACATATGTATATATGTGTTGATTTAAATTGGCAGGAAGGGGAGGGAAGATTCACGATTTGGGGTACAAAAAGCAAGCAAACGTGGCACTCCTCGCACATCCCAAAAATCCTACAAACCAACCGAAACCTGAATCCTCCAAATCCAACTTGGATAACTTCCAGGGAAGCCTGGGAACAGTTGTAATCAACAAGGGAAAAAGATGCACGACCAAAATGTTGTTGGCACCTGAGATACTCCGAAACTGCATCCTAGAAGCCAAGGCTCATGTTCCAAAACAACCACAACAAATCCCCCCCCCCCCCCCTCCCCCTCCCCCCTCGCCTCCCCCCCCTTCTCCGGCCCCCCCTCGTTTTCCAGTCGTTTTCCCAACCCAAACCAAAAAGCACGGGCGTTCTCCCACCCGCTCCGCCCACAATCCCCGCCGTGCCGTTGGCAAAAGCCGCGCCTCGCAGTCGTCGCCCTCGCGGATGCAGATGGTGCCCCCGCCGTCGCCCAGATCCACATCGAAGGTGGCCACCACCGGCCGCAGCAGCGACAGCTGGGTCTCCAGAGCCTCCACCTCCGCCAGCACCTGGAATCCCACAGTCAGGAAGATAGGGGGGGCCCTACTTGAAGGGGCAGGGTACTTGGTAAGTGCTTAGTAAGCCAGGTTCTAACCCACGTAGGAGACTTATAACCATGGTAAGTGGGTTATAACCTGACTTGCTAACCACTTAGTACAATGCCCCTTTAAGGCGCAGGCAACCCCAAGGCAGCCGTTTCGGGAAGTCAGGAGGAAATCCTAGAGTTCTCAACCACCCACCTTGGATTCAACGACCTGAGAAGCACAACCTGGATCCTCAACCCACGTCGAAGTAGGTTAACCCTGGCTGGGGGTAGTTGCTTTGAATGTCGGGAAGCCAAGAAGATCTATCACCGGAGTCTCAAAATCGCCAAAGTATCAGGTACCATGGCAATATGTTGGGAAGCCACGGAATCAAGTGTATGTCGCGTAATGTATGTTGATCCAAAAGTCAGGGACTGTGGCGACCAAAGATCCTTGGGCGTTCTTGAGGCGTGTTCGAGGGGTCTTAACGGGGTGGAAGAGCCGATCGTTTAGGTACCAACCCCCGTCAGGTAAGTTGGTTAAAACTAAGCTTACAACCAGGGCCACTGAGGTTGGCTTATGGCCACAACCTACTTACGAGCGAAGTTGCTGAAACCCATGTGACGCAGTTGCTTTACGTGCACGCTCCAGTTGGGGCCACAGCTTCGTTGAACAAGCACGCATGTGGCTTGTGTTCCTAGCTTCCCCCCAAAGCGTAGCTTGGGGACCGGTGGTTTGGTTTGTGAGTTTCCCATTTACATCCTCTACCAGGGCTTAAAATCCCACCAATCCCAACCAACTAAGGATCACCTGTTGTGGGTGGGTCTTTATCCGGTGGTGATTTTCCTTTTGGCTCCCCTTTCAAGACCCAAAAAGGGGCACCCTTTAAAAAAAGAAAGAAGCACATGTTGAGTTTAGAGAAGCCCTGGAATCGCAGAAAGAAAAATAAGAGAGAAAAAAAAAAACAGGAAAACAACGCCTCGCCTCCCGCTCAGTGGCAATCTTTTCCACCTGCAGCACGTCCAGCGACTCCTGGGTCTTCAGCTTGTCCTGGGATTTAGATCCGGCGCGAGGGATAGCTACACCCAACTCCCGGCGTTTTTTGTGTGTATGATACTGTGGATGGTTGCGAAATTCATTTCGCGCCGCGAAATGAAGCCATAGTTCAAAACTATTGTTTGTTGGTATTTACAGGGGAATGGAATCATTCCAGGGTTTCTCAGGTGGTGCGAAAAGGATGTCGTCCATCCACAGTAGGGTATGATGTCAACCCCTGACTACACAAGGAGGTAGACTTACCCTGAGAAACCGGGTTCTTCAAAACATACCCTGAGAAAGCGGGGGGCATTTGGAGAGGGTAGGGTTCTCTTGGGGGCTGGTCAATCTGAGCCTTGAAGAAAGGAAGCCTCAGCAACGCTGCAACCCCCCCCCCCCAAAAAAAAAAAAAAAACGAAAAAGAAAAGAAGACCTCCTTGGAAAGGTACCTGGGTGTTTGGCCAAGTGTCTATTTCCTTCCTCCATCCCTTCGCTCGCTCATCCCTTCGCTGCCCTTGGAATTTCCGGAAGGTTAGACAAGTGCTTAGTGTCCCAAAGAGATAGGCCATGAGTTGTTGGGAACCTAGGCTATAACCCGCTTATAGGTCCCCAGGTGAGATGGCTGACCACTTGCTAACTTGGCCGAACATCCAAGCAATAAACCCTGGCTACCAAACACCTGACCCCGTGAACCTTCGGTAAGAACCCCTGGCTACCACAAGTCTCCAAGCCCTTGCGCACCCTGCTAGGTCAAACCTGTTGGTCAAAAAGCAGGGGACCCAAAGCCTGCCAACCCACGCCAAATCTGCCAGCATTCCCTTCCCCGCCCCCTGTTTGGGTCCCCAAAAGGGTTTATAAACCAACAGCAAAGCCTGTTGAGCAGCGGTCGCCTCCCGTTGAGTGCTACCGCCCAGAAAAAAACAATCGGTGCATGAGACCATGCTTTGAGTGAGCTTGGACGCCTGAAACGTGCCCTAAGGAGTGTTTGGGTGTCACAGTTTTGGCCCCTTCCCCCCCCCCCACCCTTCCCCTTCCCCCCCCTTCCCCCCCCTTCCCCCCTCCTCCCCGGCCCTCCTCCCCCTCTCCCCCTCCTCCCCGCCCCTCCCCCCCTCCCCCCCCTTCCGCGCCGCGCCGCGATCTCCCTGAGCTTCTTCTGCAAGCCGCGGAGCCGCTTCTTCAGCGCCTCCGGGTCGCTGCGGTCCACCTCCGCGGCCGATGCGCGTGGTGACGTACGTTGGTACGTCACCCACGGGCGAAATCTTCGCAGTCAACAGAAAGCTTGCTGCTGCCAGAGATGCAGGGAATGAGAATTGGCTCATGAATCCCCCAAACCATCCTCTGTGGTTTCCTTTATTCGAGAATCCTCAGGTTCATTTTCCCTACTGAGCACCAAGCAAGGTGCCCCTTTAGAAACCCAGAAATCAATGGAACAGGCTTTTCGGACCTAGACTAAGAATGAAATTCGGGAAACCAGATGCGGTCAGTCGAGCTGGACCCTTTTGCGCTCATAACTCGGCGGCTCCAAAAGGCGAGCTTTACACCGGGGAGTTGCAGCCCTGATGACCCCCAACATCACATCCCAGCCCAAGACGCCAAAACTCGTGGAGGAGGAGTTTGGTTTTTTGGGGTCGGGGAACACCCCCCCCCCCCCGCTTTTTCGCCACTTTTCGCCAATGAGTGTGTCTTTGTTTAGGGTTTGGACCCCGAAAACGGTGTGTGTTTTTTCCAGTTGGTGTCTCGTTGAACGCCTCAAAACAAAGGTGGCAACTCCAAACAGGACACACCTAAACTGTTTGGACTAAAGTTGCTGAATTGTAGGCCCCCTCTCAAACTCGAAAATTAAATGCGGCGGCTGGACGAAATCCTGCACCACCTAAGAAACCTTGAAATGAGTTCTCTGAAAATAACAACAATCATTGTCATCGTTGTTTCTACTATGGTTTCACATCGTGGCGCGAGAAACGGATTTCGCGATCCTCCATAGTAAGACCTGCATGGTTCCCTTCTCAGGAATCATTATAATGGTTGTTCAGCATCCTTCCTAGGTGGATGGTCGTCCATCCCTGTTAACCTCCCTTCCTGAGTGGAGGGGCCAAAAAGAGTCTAAACTTTATGTTTCCCACCAAAACGGTCTTCCCAAAAAGTATAAAGTCCAAGAACTCAGGGAGTGAGTGCCTGTTAATCCCACGCAAAGGTTCACCCCAAATGACCATGGGTAAGTGTTCCCATTCAGTGGTAAATATCATCTGTTTGGGTGGTGCTCCAGTCAATAGTCATCCCATGTAATGGACCATTTGATCAAACCCCCATAGAAACCTTTACAACCATCTCTCACATACCCAAAACCGACCCTTACCATATGGATGGTCATCGTTATTTCTGCTAACCCCAACATAAAGTTGAACCGGTCACTTTCTCGTGACCGTGGCATACCTCCGGAGCAATCCAATCCTTCACAACTCTTGGTATGGGCTTGCAAAAAAAACTGTCTTGTCTTTCTCGAAGCCCCAACACCTAAAAAATGAACAGAACAACAACAAAATCAAAAAAAAACGCCAAGAAAATCAACACAACGAGCAGAAAAAAAAGGCAAGGTGAGCCAAGAACCGGTGACGAGTCGATCCAATCAGATCCGATTTCCCCCGCCTCCGCCTTGGCCTTGGGCTTGGCCTTCCGCGCCTTCGCCTGCTGCGCCTCCTGCGCCTTCCAGGCCGCCAGCGCCTGGTCGCTGCCGCGTCGAGGAGCGGCGGGGCGCGGGGCTCGACACGGACCGCGTGTTTCCCCGGGCAATGCAATGAATTTTTCGGGGGGCCGGGGGGGGGGGGGGGCGTGTTTTGTTTTTTGTTTTTGGACCCTAAGTTGGGTGGTAAAGGGGAAGAGGACTCTTCCAGCTTTTCGATTGAAAGGGGACCACCCAGTTTCGGTTGGTTTTGAAGGGAAAAGGGGCAACTGCCGATCTTGAAGGGTTGCAGATTCTGAGACGAGCCCACATTTGGGGGCAAAGAACTTCATATTCTCTGATCTCCCCCAACCTCCCCTCCCCACCTCCCCCAACTCAGACCCTTAGTGGCCATGGAAAAACAGGCTTGCCCTTTTCTCGTCGTTTTTTTTTGGGGGGGGGGGGGGCACTTTGGGGGAATACCCTGACCGCACACCAGGTTGTCTGATTCTCACGGATGATGTCGTATCATCCGCACATCATTATCACGTTTACAACTTCCCAATTGAATCAACAACCATAAATCAACAAGTTTGTGTTTCCCAACTAAATCAACAATTGAATCAACAACCAGAAATCAACAACAAATGTGTGTTTCCCCCCTAAACCAACACATTTATTCCGTCTTCCGAATCCAAAAAGCCACCCCAAGGCACCCCCCGCCCCCCGGCCACCCCCTTCCCCCCCCCCCCCCCCGGCCGCCTGGTGCTGCAGCCGCTCCACGCGCTCCGCCAGCGGCGGCGCCAGCGACGGCGCCAGGCGGTGCTGCTGGCCTCGAGTGGAGCCAGCGACAGGAAGGATCCGTCGGAACTCACATAAATTGAAGTGCAACAAGGCCCTTTCCAAAAGGAAAGTAGTCTTTCTACAGACGTGGCCGGCGGACTTGGACGTAGTGGGCGGCTCGTCGTTTTTTTGGGGGAGGCTGCGTACCTTTTGTTGGGGGTTGGGTTGAGAGGTTGGGTTGAGAGGCAAATCAGAAGGAACCTACGATTTTTGAGGGTTTTGTTTACGGCTGGATACCTTTTGTTTGGGGTTGGGTTGAGAGGGAAGCGAACCTACGATTCTTGAGGGTTTTGTTTACGGCTGGGTACCTTTTGTTTGGGGTTGGGTTGAGGGGGAAGCGAACCTACGATCTTTGAGGGTGTTGTGTACGGCTAGGTACCTTTCGTTTGGAGTTGGGTTGAGAGGGAAGCGAACCTGCGATTTTTCAGGCTTTTGTTTACGGCTGGGTACCTTTAGTTTGGGGTTGGGCTGAGAGGGAAGCGAACCTACAAGGCTGGGTGCCTTTCGTTTGGGGTTGGGCTGAGAGGGAAGCGAACCTACGATTTTTGAGTGCTTTGTTCACGGCTGGGTACCTTTCGTTTGGGGTTGGGTTGAGAGGGAAGCGAACGAGGGAAGCGAACCTACGTTTTTTGAGGGTTTTGTTTACGGCTGGGTACCTTTCGTTTGGGGTTGGGCTGAGAGGGAAGCGAACCTACGATTTTTGAGTGCTTTGTTTACGGCTGGGTACCTTTCGTTTGGGGTTGGGTTGAGAGGGAAGCGAACGAGGGAAGCGAACCTACGATTTTTGAGGGTTTTGTTTACGGCTGGGTACCTTTCGTTTGGGGTTGGGTTGAGAGGGAAGCGAACCTAGAACCAGAGATTCATCAGCCTGGTGAACGAACAGAGAGTGTTTCCCTCAAAATTGAAGGATCCACTCCTGCAATCGAAGATCAACCAAGCTTGTATCAATATATACTGGGTTCCCACTATATGCGTGGACCTGACGTACTGTTCTGCAAAAACTAGGGGCTTGGATGTTCTCAAGCAGGGATTGATTCACATTCATCAAAGGGCACAACTGCTCAGGGATTCCCTTTTTCAAGTTCTCACAACTCTTTACGGAGGTTGTACAAAGTCCCAGCCTGGCGTTTCAGTGAATAAGGGGGCACCATTCTCCCTTTAGCGGTTGCATTTCACTGGTACGCACAAATTCTAGCGCCACTTGATGTCCAACAAAACGGAAACCGAGGCTGTTTTGGGGAAGTTCCGATCTCAAGCGCAGCGCGGTTGCCCCGCGCTTTTCGCTTTTGTGTGTCTCAAGACAGGGGACTCCCCAAACTGGCAACGGCTTCCTTTTGCCCCCTCAAAGACCGCACCTACCATCAAATAAGACCAGGTGGTATCCCCAACAGCCCCCTATCTGGGCCTATCGACTCCATAGCTTTGGCTTTTCCGCCTTCCCAAAACCCAAACAGACCCCCTGTTTAAAACCAAAAACCAGACCAAACAGTCTTCCCTTCAAAATCCTCGACCTGCCCAACAAAGGAACCCCTTATAGCCTAGGTCCTCCAGTAAGAGGTTAGAATTAGGGTACCGACTTTTCTTTGTAGTCTATTTTAGTAGGGGGGGGTCCTCCCAACCAAAAAAAACAACGGTGAGAGGTCGGGCACCTAGCTGGGGGACCTCTTAGCTTTGGGCCTTCCTTAAAACCGCTTTTACTTTGGGAACCCTCCCCCAACAATGAAACGGTAAAAGGGCACTGGGGGACCTAGAAGAGGTGGGGGGTGCGCTTGTTTGAACCCACCCACGCTTGGTTGGACCCTGTAGCTGGGACCTCTGCGCAAGTCCGACGAGTTCGCCGAGGGGCAGAAGCGCAGCGCGAAGTCCCGGCAGCTCTGCTCCGGCGCCTTGGCCGCGAAGGCCCTGCTGCTCTGGGCGCCTCGCCGTCGCTCGCTGGGCTTTGGGACCGCGGACGGACCGCCTTCGGATCCCAAGGGATCCGATCGGAAACCAGGAAACCCGCTAGCCCGAAATCGCACCCCGAAACTGGAAAAGCAAGTCCCCAAAAAGGGAAGCCAACCAAAACACGCCGAGGGAGCTTTCTGCAGAGAGCGAAAAAGACTTCCCCGCGCCTGTCTCAATCTCGAACAGCAAATGCTCCTCGGGCGCCGAGAGCGCCTCAGCGGCGCCATAGCCGCCGCGGCCGGCGCCTTTGCGCAGCGTCTCGCGGTCCCGGAGCTCCTCGGATTCGCCGGCGAATTGGCGCGGAGGAGTTGTCTGGCTGGTGCTCAGCCAAACCAACGGAAATCTCCCCTCCCACTGATGGCTGCGAAATATTGCACTACTTAAGAAACCCTGGAATGATATATTTCCCCTTCAAATTACCGGAGCAAACGTTGGGGCTTCCTTCTCATGTGTCATTTTCTGGTGCGAGACTCGCGGATTTCGCGAAACCATCCACATGCCCGAGTTTCTTGCTGGTTCTCAGCTGGGGGAGTGATTCATATCAACTAGCGTATCAACCATCCCCTATGGTTGTCCTCCAGGGAATTCCATTCAAAACCCGGACTCGGTCATTCCCTTCCTACTGTGGATGGACGAAATCCTGAACCACCTGATACGATTCCCCTGCAAATACCAACAAACCATGGTTTCAACCATGGTTTCAAAGTGGTGCGAAATGGATTTCGCAACTATCCACAGTATGGCGCCCATGACTAGAGTTAGGCCCAGTTATAGAATGTATATTTTATTGTTTGCTTCACTTTGAGTCACTGGTAAAATGTAAAATGTATCCTAAGTCTAGCCCCAGTACCTATGGCACCCGTAAGTTGTCCATGGCGCCAGTAGCTCCGGCCATTCCAACGCGTTCCGCGCCGAGCCGCCACCCGCAGCTCCCGGGAGGCTCCCGCCCGGCGAGGATTCGTGGGCTTCGGGAACTCCGGGGCGGAGAAGGGGCCCGAGAAGTCCGCCCAGAGCGCCTGAGGAAATCGGGGAAACTCACCGGGGGTAGAGAAGTCCACCAACCAAACAAACAGAAACAAACCAAACCCAACCCAACCCACCAACCAACCAACCAGCCAGCCAACCAACCAACCCAACCCACCCACCCACCCACCCAACCAACCAACCAACCAGGTTGACCGGCCCTAGCAAAGGCACAACAAAACACACACTTCCCTCTTGGTGGTTTGGAGCCGGGTGGTTTCAAGGTGTTCCGGGGGGGCGGGGAACCCCATTTGCCCCTCTGCAAGAACCAGCGGTTCAAATCCAAATCTGATACATCATGACCAAAGGACACTCACCTTGGACCGAGGTGAGGTGTAAAACACCCAAACATAGATATCTATGCGGCGATTGTCCCAAAAGTTGAGCTTGTCGGCATGTGGGAAAGCACCATGATGCCAAAAAGGCCAAAGCTTAAAGATCCGAAATCGCCGGCAGGATCTTAAGATCTTTTGCGACATGCAACTCAAAGAGGATGCAAAAAGCTGAAAGATCTTCTTGGCTCAAACTCTTCAAGAGATGGGGCTTTGCAACCTCTTTGCTTTCCCATAGGGTGGCCGCCTGCGGCCTGGAAGCAATAAAAAAACACCTCGGGAGTATGGGCTCGGGGTGCTCCAAGGTTGATTTAGGCAGTCCGGGTTTTAGGTTGGTTTAGGGCTGCTTCATATGGATCTAGCCATGTGCCATTCTCAGTACTTCCAGACTTGAGGATCCGCATCCCTTGCATTTGACTGGTTGGTTCGAACGAACTAGCCACTTTTCAAGCAAAAGACTGAAGTCTGGTTGGATCAGGGAGTAAAGAATTCTTAAGGATGCCAAAGTGGGAGTCCCATGCGACTACCCTGCCACATTTTCTCTTTTAATCGTATTTCCAATTGATAACAGAAACTCCAACCTACCTGATTAATGCAGACCTGTGTTGGTCTCAAATGAACCAGCGAAACCAGAACTGCCTTATGTCAACTTCGGATGAATCCGGACCACGTTCAGGGATGGTTCCCCTCTGAGAGGGGAATCAATTCACAAGATTCTTCTGATTTGCGCAAAAATCAGTTGCCGGTGTAGTTTATTGAACGTGGTATGTGTACCTCGTTTTCTGTGGTTTCCCCAGGTTGCCAAATTGGGTAAAGCATCGATCTAAGCTTTTTGCCTGGCCATTGCAAGCGGCTTGCGCCGCACGTTCCGTGTTAGAAGCCCAAAAACGACGGTTAGCACATGTTTATTGAAACGGCAAAGCAAGGAGCGGTCTTTCAATGGGTAGGTTGGGATTGGCTTTTTGCGACGCACGAATCAAAAGGCACCTTGGTTTGCAAACCCCGTTTTTGGGGTTTGCCCAACGCTAGCGGCCAGGGTGTCTTTGATAGGGGTATGTCGCAGGGCCGGCCGTACTTTCAGCAATTTGTGATCCAAATGAAAGGGGCCAGCGGCCTGGCCGTTGGCTTCCCTTCTTTGCAAACCAAACACCGAAAAAGGCCACTCAAATTTCCGCAAGAAGTCAGCTTGAAGTAGTCTTCCTCCAAAGAAAAAAATTGAGGAGTCTCTTCGTTTTGCGAAGTTTGCCCTTTCTTATCCCCCCTGCCCCCTTTGCCCGGCGCCCCAGCGCGCGGCCTGGCCCACCGTCCCCTCGAAGCGCACGGCACAGCCCACGGTGCCGTCGGCGGCGGAGAGCAAACGCAGCTCCGAGGCGTTGCCGTCCACCTGGACGTTGGCCAACCTCGCCGCTCGGCGCTCTGCGACGCGTGGTTGCGGGACGGGGGAGGGTTCGTGCTCGGGGGAGGGTTGGAGGGCTGGTTTCTGCGATTGTGAGTGGTTTCGTTTTGTGCGAAACCAGGGTGGGAGGTTAAATCTGCCGGAAGTGTAGGCCCAGTGGCTGAGTTAGATTTCACCATTTGCCATTCAACCCCTGAAAATGGTGGTTGGGTGGACACTGGAAGCTCAGGCCAAAGCACAGAAGACAACCCGAAAATTACCGGCAAGAGATGGCGAGGACAAGTTTTTGAACTTAAATGATCTATGTCCCCAGCTTTTGGCGTGAGGGGCGCCGACGACGGCGCTGGAGTGCTCTGACTGAGTCGTTTGGCACATGGCTCGCGCTTTATATATCCCTTACTTCTCAAAGGGTGTGGTTAGGGTGGCTTTGCGCTTGCAGGATGAGGCAGACGACATGGAAGACGTGAACCAGGAAGAGGACGTGATGTCCACCGAAAAGGTTGGCGCACTACCGCATCATCTTTCAGAGCTTGCTGCACGCGGAGTCGGCGGCTGCTTGCCAAACCAGGGCTTTTGGGCCAGGTCCGTTTTTTTGGTTGGACCCCTCCCCCCCCTAACATGGCGGTTTTCCACAGGGTGACTGGAGTTCTCCCACTGGTGGTTTCCATACAGATCGCCACTTTTGGAGGTACCTATTTTCGCAAAACCCCTCTGGCCGGTGGCGATCCAAACAGCGCAAGCGAAGACCTTCCCAAGTGGCCGCTCTGCAGTTGTTCGCCTTGGCTGCCCGCCTCGGACGTAAGCGTAGTATGTGGGCTGCTTCCTGGACGACTGCTCCTTGCTGCCCGAGGCGCACTGAACGACGTACACGGCGTGGCCCTTGAAGTTGATCTGCAGGTTCTCTTTCCTGCGCTGGCCAGGGGGTTGCTGGGCGCGCAGTCATGCTGCTCCAGCAAAAACATCAAGCACTCAAACCAAGCCGAGCGTGCTCGGTAGCGGCCCGCCTGAGAAAATGACTATGGCAGACACGGCGCGTGGTGGAAAGCAAGTCAGTCCGGACACCAGTCTTGGGGAAGGCTGACTGGATTGCCTGCCTTTGCTTTTTGGATCAGGTCACAGGCGATCTTTGGCCGAGAGGTTGGGGCATCTATCAAGTACACCACTTTCTTCTCTGAGCCAACCTCCATAATCAGATCTGACTCCAGCTTGGCCACGTCGGTGTGCAGCGACACCCGCATCACGTCCGGCAACGCCAGAGCCGTTGCCTTTGCGTGCAGGGTCATCTTGCCTTAGATTGGCTGCACTCCGAAGACAGGCCAAACGCAAGGAAATGCTGAGCTAACTTGGCTGACAGACTGAGACAGAAATAGCCGAAATGGGCAGCGCAAAGGCCCAAGAAAATAAAGAGTCCGACACTGCGTCGAGCGCCATGCCCTTCCGGCAGCTTCTCGCTTGTCGCGCCGGCTGCCTTTTCTGAGGCACTGTTGGCCGCCTGTGTGCCGTGCTCCTTGAGCTTGACCAGCTCGGCAAAGATGGTGTTGGCCTCCTGGAATGCTAATCAAAAAACTCACGCACATGTCCTGAAACAACGACGCTTGTCGTCTATATAAAGGCCACTTGCTGGAGCACTTCAGGGCTGCTTCTTGGGTTGCGGAGGAAGCCACGCAGGAGCAACACAACTTTCAAGCCTAGCCAATGCCCACGTTGCCACTCCCGCTGCCGTGAAGGGGCGCCCGATCTTTGAGGCATGCCAAAATGCGCTGCCGGCCGGCTTCGCTCTGAAGCTTTCGGATCACATTGGCAAAGCTGGGCAGCAATGCCGCGAGACTGCCACAGCTCTTCTCGACAAAACGCCTCCAGCGGCACAACTCCTGGGCGCTCAAGGTGAAACTTGCGCAAGTGAGCTGAAATTATCTTAGATGCCTCACCTCCTTGCGAGAAACAAAGAGATCTTCGCAACCTCAGGAAAGCATCCCACACTGGGTGGCAGAATTCCGCCTCTACTGCTTTCACGGGCACCAGCACATGGGAGCTGCTGTACTCAAGCTTGTTAAACAGCAGGTCCAAGGCAAGCATAGCAGAGGGCTCATCCAGGCGGAATCTCGCCTCTGACTTCTGGGACGTAAAGAACTTATTCTGCAAGATGTGTCTGTGCGGGAGGTTCTTAGTGTCGTGGGCAGCTACCTGCTGCCAAGTCTTTGCTTGGAGAGAGCGCCATGGGTTGAGAGAAAACAACGCCTATGCAGCACACACACACACACGAAAAAAACACCGCCGCCTTGTTGACGACCGCGTCCGACACGCGCAGCAGCGTCAGCCAGCGCCGGATGACTGGCGCTGAATTTCGCTGCAGGGAGGGGCAATCAGCTCACAGGAAAGTCCCTGAGGCTTTGGGCGGCGCTCCCGGGGTTGGAGTACTGAGAAAGCCTCATTTCATCAAGTGCCTTGGCTTATTCGAGTAAGACTTGAAAGTTGTGGCGGACAGGGCCAATGGCTTGGGGAGCACCACAGCCACAGGCCTTCACGATCAGGTCCTGGATCGTCTCAAATCGGTTGCTCTCGACCAAGTGCACGAAGGAGTAAAAACTGGTAATGACAATGGCCTCGCAGTCTGAGAAAACAAGCTCGTCCATCCTCACCCCATGCTGGAAGACACGCTCCAGCGCGGGCGTGCACCGCTCTGGCTTGGTGCCCCCTTCACCCGTGTCCGTCCGGTACTTGGCCTGGAGGCATTTCCTTCGGCTTCCAGAGATAAGCAAGGGACACTATACACTAAAAAGTAAATGACGGTATGTTGTGGAAAGACGACACGCAAGCTTGAGCACAAAGAATCACTCCATTACAAAGCAGCATGACAAGATTCCAATGACGATCTTGCCATCGTGCTTGCTCACCTTCTTCGAGATGAAAGTGGGGTTGTTATACTGGCCAGAGTAGAACACGGACTCCAAGTGCGCCACCCCCGCGGCCAGCAGCGGCCTCCACCCACTGTCTGGCGCAAAGCTTAAGTCGTCCAGCTTGACCTCCTTCGTCTTCGTGTCAATGACCTGCAGCGCTCCCTGGCCGCTGTCAACCAGCAATCCGCTCTCATGGAGATGGGTCTTGTGCCAAACACGACTCAGAAGTGTGAGCCATTCCTTTTTGGCTCCTAACTGGGCTGTGCTAGGTATCGGCCTTGCAAAATGAGCCATGGAGGAAGCTGGTGTTGCGACAAGCAGCCTGTTGCCAGTGACGCCGTGACGTCCCTCACGTTCTGATGCCACATCAGAGCTGCACTGGTCCGCTCCAAGTTGGACTTGCTAGCTGCCAGCTGGTCTTCCAACCTTGGCATCTGTAAGCCCAACAGAGCAACACTCTGAACTTAACTGGCTCCTCTCACCAACGCTGCTTGCTGCAAGCGTAGAAGCTGCTTGGCATACCGCCATGACTCGAAAAGCGTGGACCGCAAAGCGCCGCACTCTTCCTGGCACATCTCCTGGGCCGCCTCATATTCCCGCAGCACTGCTTCAAATATTCGCCGCTGCAAAGCGCACCTCGCACGAAGAGCGTCTGCTTCTGCCAAACTCATGCTGATCTGCTCGTGCAGCGCTGCTAGCGTGTCTAGCCTGGGCTGCGATGGGCCAGGGTTTGGCGACTGAGCCTTGTCTGGTAGTTGTGGCTCACCAGCGCCTGACTCTGAATCTGCCTTGAACTTCCGCTTTTGCCGAACATGCGAGGGCATGGCCGGACTGGGATGGGTGGCCAAAACACCATAACAGGCGCTTTTCAGTAGACTTGTGACAAGCTGCAACAGACACCTTTGGCACATGCTTCGCTACACTGCTGCCTACTTTGCACCCCTAAACAAAATCTCCTCAAGTCTGCTTGAAAGAGAAGGAAGCCGGTCTGTTGCATCCTCGTGACCAAAGTCTGGCTCGCAAATAAACAGACATGAGGTTCCGTCATTCACTTGCAATCCAGGAAACAAACTGGTTGCCATCTTCACTCACAAAATGGCTGGTTGTCAATTGGTCAATTGTATAAGCATTGGATCCACTGCGCCAGGTACAAAAGGGAGTCTTTTTGTGGAGGCTCCGCACCTGCCTTGTGATTGGTGCTTTGTGGGGGAAGGGGTTTCAGCTTTCTCGAAAGCTTGGAAGGAAACCAGCTGGCAGCCAATGGCTTGGGGCAAAAAAGCCAACCAAACATCCCAGCAAGTCCTTAAATCCAGGCCAAGCGCTGCTCATTTTCAAGGAATGTGGCGGACGCAATAAACAGAGCCTCAGTTCGTCCGACCGACGGCTGATCCGATAACCGGCGTGCCTCACGCCAGCTGCCAGCCACCACGCCGCGTGACGGACTGTCAAGGAAACCTCAAGAAGAAGAAAACCCCCATCACGCTTTCTTCCGACAGACCAAACAGCTCGCAATACTTGGGAGCTTGAATCCAAAAAAGCGAACACGGACAAAGGAAGAACCCCCCGACAAGCCTTTGCTCCCAATGCTGCTTGAACGCTTTTCCGACAAAGCTTCCTGCCAAGTGTCAGATAAGTGTGACAATCCCACTCATGCTTCTGCCTTGGGGCTTGAAGTTTGCAAGTCTGGCTCTGGCGAACTCTCTTTTATTGGTGGCCATGCCGGAGTCTTGGCTTCCGCACGTCTCCTCCAAGAGGGCGAAAGGTCAGGCCAAATCGAATGTGACCCTCTCATTTTGGCTCGCGCTGGAATGAGCAACGTGGGAGCTCCTCCTTCCGGTAATGGCCTGTCGGGCCACCGTGAAGCAAGTCAACGGAAGGCGCGGCCTGCGTGAGAAAAGCTGTCGCAAACTTCGAAGTGAGGTTAATGAGCCTGCCTGCTGCCGGGTGTAAACGTGATGCCGCATTCTAAAAGTTGCTAGCCTGTTCAAAATCCAGGGGGCCTAATCACAATCCGTAATTGGCATCAGACAAGGTTGAACCCCCCTCCATTTTATCAGATAAAATAGGGTTAGTCCATCCTTATTGTAAAATAAAATGCAACAGTCCAACTTTGACAGAAAATCAATTGACAAATCACGATTTATGTTGACCTCATGTTGGGGGCTTGGTTTGAACAGTCCAAGTTGGACAAAACGCAGTTCTGGATAAAAATAAAGTCAAGGGGGTCCAACTCTTCCTGGGGAAGAAGCGGGTTGCCTCAGGTTAAATTGAAATGAGTTCAGTCCAATCTTTGAAGGGTTTTTCAAAGAGGCCAAAATGAGTTTTAATGGAAAAAGGGGGTTGGACTAAAATAAAATAGATGACATATTTTAGGATCCGACCCGCCCCAACTCTATTTTGAGCCTGCAACGGGGGTGCACCAAGGAGTCACAACAGCGGGGAGGGGAATTTTCTTCAGATCGGATTTTTTAAATTTTCAACGCCTGAGCGAACTGATCAGGCTGCCGATATTACAGGCCTGCTTTCTTATTTGCGTGCCTTTGGAATTGTCCCCTTGCCCCCCTTCCCCTCTAACATCTTTTCCCCCCGTCCCCCCCCCCCGCGCCAGCATCACATGCATCATTCCCATCAGCGCCTGCCAAGGGGATGCGGATTATGCAAGTGATGCGGATGATGCCAGTGATGCTGGGGATGTTACCCATGCTGGCGAAGGAAAATATAAACTTGAGTATGGCCGACCGGGGCAACTCCTTCCGATTCTGTGTTTCTGCACTAGGGGCTTGGCCTCTTCCTGCTGAAGCGCCAGGCAACGAATTCTTTGGCTGGACCACATCTCCCAAGAGTTCGCGCTGATTGAGGCGGTGGCTGGCAGCCGTCCACATGCGTCCGTTTCCGGTCTCCCGTTGCATGTTTTTTCCCATTTCCTATCCAGGCCAATGCGCCTGAATCGGAAAAGATGCTGGACCAGGCCTTGGGACCGACTGTTTCGGTCAACTGTTGCTTCGGCAGGCAGCGCGCCAGCGAGGGCCAACCAGAGGACATGCAGTTGGGCAGTCCGAGCTGCCGTGAATCTGAAGAGAAGCTGGACGACAAGGCTGCGTAGAAAAGCAGCACGAGCTGAGAGGGATGGGCTGTTCTCTTATCTGCGTAGATGATCAGATGGTCAGATGAGAGACGTCTCCCGCTGAAAGCCTAGACAAAAAGGACGTCCTGGGGCGCGTCGGCAGAAAGCCGTTGCTGGATTTGGCCTACATGCCTTTCAGTGGCGGATGTTCTAAGCTTTTGGCTCGTAGCAGGCCTCCAACAGACGGAAATCCTGCCACCAAGGCCCTTTCCCACTTAGAGCCATTTCGAGGGGACCAGGACCATCACATGTGCAAGTTGCAGGCCACACTTTGCTTGATCGAAACCTAATCCCCAATGATTAGCGGATTGCGGATTATTACTGCGGTTGCAGATTACGGATTATAGGTTGCATAGATTTTCCCATGCTCCAACATACGGTGCTGACCCACAATTTGCAGCGCGGATTACGGATTAAGAGCATTACCAGCCAGAACAAGGATTAAGCGGAAGGGCTCCTCAAGGCTACATGTACCACACATCTTCGGGGGCCCGGGGAACCGGAGAAGCCCGGCTTCTGGGAAGGAGGGGCCGATTTGCCATGGGAAATCCTGTTTCATGGGCTTCTCTCTCATATTTGTCCTAACCAAAAAGGCTCCCCAGAAAAAGGTTAAAAAAAGGGGGGGGACAAAAAGCACCTCCATCCCCCCCCCCCCGGGCTCCTCTCTCCAATTTTTCCAAGCAACCCAAAAAGGCTCCCCCCCCAAAACAAAAAACAAGCCGATGTGCCTCAAAGGGGAATCCTGTTTCATGGGCCCCCAAGGAAAAAATAAGAAGAAAAAAGGAGAAAAAACGACCACCTGCAAATCGAAACGGCGGTTTCTTAAGGGCTCAAATGCCAAGCTCAGCTTTAGAATATGCCAGCGATGGTCGCTGTTTACGCTTCACCCATTCACCAGTGAGTCACGACCATTGCCCTGCAAACCTGTGAGCAGGCCGTCAACAATTGATCAAACCATACATTTCCCTTTAAACAATTTTCCTTTAAACACTTTCGCCTCAAACCTTCAATGACTTCCCTTGAATCCATGGCATCCAAAACCGGTTTCCTTTAATCTTTCAATTCAAACGCTGCGCAGCTCGGACCAGTTATCGTTTGATTCAAAACCGCCTCTTGCAAACAATGTCCCTTTACACTCCACAGGGAAGCTCCCCCAATTGGCCCCTGTAAATGAAACCAAGTCCTACAAAAGAAATACTGGACTCCCCTTTCACCGATTTCTTGCACACCTTCGTTCTAAAACCAGCTTTCGAGTTGGATCCCGGATTTGGGAAACACCAAAGATAATGGGTGTGTACCTTTTGAGGTAGCCTACTTTGAGGGATTGTTGTGGAAACCCAAGTGAAACCGCCATTTGTTTCGGGGTTCCCCGAACATATCATATTTTGCAAGATCATCTAAATCAGCCGAATGCGACTTCAATGTACAGGGACCCTGAAGGGGTTTCATCTTTGTTGGTATGGGTCTGTGTTTTTTGAGGGTTTGGACCCCCACAATGGCAACGGTTCCTTGGTTTCACTACTATACCACCAACAAGGCGATACCCTCCAAAAGAGACACACCCACGTGCCATTACCAACAAAGATGAAACCCCTTCAGGGTCCCATGTCGGGGTCTCCGTTCTTGCTGGCTCGCTAGGGGGAATCATTCGGACATTTGGAAACCGCAGGGGATTCCCCAAAGAAGGGAAGCCACCAATTGAATGATTTGGGTGCCATTCCTGAAGGGAAGCCACCAGTTGGGCCACTCCTGATGGAAAGCCACTGAAGGAAAGCCCACACACACACACCACTCAAACACCACGTGCGCGCACGCACGCACAGCGCACACATCAGCTGGCTGCTTGGGGTGTCATTCCCTCACTCGGCAACCCGGCTGCCAAGCAACAACAGCCGCCCATCCGGCGAGAATGCCATCGAGGACACGGAGGGCCCCACGTGCGCGTGCGCCTGCGCGTGGCCTGCCAACGTGGCCAACATGGCCAACCGAGGGCCCCACGTGGCTACACGACAAAATACGGTGCAGGGCTGGGGGAGCGGGGGGAAAAAGGTTGTCCCCTTTTCTACCGTAAATTGTGGACAATACGCTCCTATGTGGGTTTGTCTGTGTGTGTGTTTGCACGTGTCGCGCGCGCGTGCCCGTGTGCATGTGTGCGCGCATGCGGGCGAGCGGCGTGCAGGCGGACCAGCAGACGGCTTTGCGTGCATGCTGGCAGTGGCGCGCGTGCGCGGCCGCGCAGGCAGGGGCCAGCGTGTGCGTGTGGCTGTGGCTGTATGTGGGTATGTGTGTGTGTGTTTGTGTTTGTTTGATTGATGCTTTGTTTGGTTGCTTCTGTTGCTTTGTTTTGGCTTGTTTTCGTTTGTTGTTTTTGCTGGTGTTCTTTGAACTAGTTTGTTGATGTTGATTGTTTTATGTCATTGATGCTTGCTTGCTTGCTTGCTTGCTTGCTTGCTTGCTTGCTTGCTTGCTTGCTTGCTTGCTTGCTTGCTTGCTTGCTTGCTTGCTTGCTTGCTTGCTTGCTTGCTTGCTTGCTTGCTTGCTTGCTTGCTTGCTTGCTTGCTTGCTTGCTTGCTTGCTTGCTTGCTTGCTTGCTTGCTTGCTTGCTTGCTTTCTTGGTTGGTTGTTTGGTTGTTTGGTTGTTTGGTTTTGTTTGTCTGTTTGTCTGCTTGCTTGCTTGCTTGCTTGCTTACTTGCTTGCGCGCTTGATTGCTTGTTTGTTTGCTTGCGTTCTTCCTGTTTGTTTGTTTGTTTGATGGCTTGATTTCGCGTTTGGTTGCTTATTTGTTTGTTTGTTTGTTTGTTTGTTTGTTTGTTTGTTTATTTGTTTAATTGGTTGCTTGTTTGCTTGATTGCTTGTTTGCTTGTTTGTTTGTTTGCTTGTTTGTTTGTTTGATTGTTTGTTTGGTTGTTTGTGTGTTTGTCTGTTTGTTTGATTGAATGTGTGTTTGTTTGTTTGTTCGTTTGTTTGTTTGTTTGTTTGTTTGTTTGTTTGTTTGTTTAATTGGTTGCTTGTTTGCTTGGTTGCTTGTTTGCTTGTTTCTTTGTTTGCTTGTTTGTTTGTTTGGTTGTTTGCTTGATTGTTTGTTTGTTTGTTTGATTGAATGTTTGTTTGTTTGTTTGTTTGTTTGTTCGTTTGTTTGTTTGTTTGTGTGTTTGTGTGTTTGTGTGTATGTGTGTTTGTGGGTTTGTGTGTTTGTGTGCTTGTGTGCTTGTGTTTGGTGGTTGTGTGTTTGTGAGTTTGTGAGTTTGTGAGTTTCTGTGTTTGTGTGTTTGTGTGTTTGTGTGTTTGTGTGTTTGTGTGTCTGTGTGTTTGTGTGTGTGTTTGTGTGCTTGTGTGCTTGTGTGTTTGTGTGTTTGTGTGTTTGTGTGTTTGCGTGTTTGTGTTTGTGTGGTTGTGTGTTTGTGTGTTTGTGTGTGTGTGTTTGTGTGTTTGTGTGTTTGTGTGTTTGCGTGCTTGTGTGTTTGTGTGTTTGTGTGTTGGCGTGTTTGTGTTTGTGTGGTTGTGTGTTTGTGTGTTTGTGTGTGTGTGTGTGTTTGTGTGTTTGTGTGTTTGTGTGTTTGCGTGCTTGTGTGTTTGTGTGTTTGTGTGTTTGTGTGTTTTTGTGTTTGCGTGTTTGTGTTTGTGTGGTTGTGTGTTTGTGTGTTTCTGTGTGTGTGTGTGTGTGTGTGTTTGTGTGTTTGTGTGTTTGTGTGTTTGCGTGTTTGTGTGTTTCTGTGTGTGTGTGTGTTTGTGTGTGTGTGTGATTGTGTGTGTGTGTTTGCTTGTGTGTGTGTGTTTGCGTTCGTGCTTGCTTTTTGTGTGCGTTTGTATTGTGTTTGTGTTATGTTTGTGTGTGTTGTGCCTGTGCTTGTGGTTGTGTTTGACCCATTTTGGGGTGGTTGGACGGGACGTCGAAGAGCAAACCACGATTCTGGGTTCCGGCCCTCTGGGCTCAGTCCCAAACGATAGGGCGGTCTCTAACGATAGTGCTTCCAGCCATAAGAAACCAGAGGCTTTACTTCCAGCTCTCAGGGGCTTGAGGCAAAATGAGGCAGAATGAAGGTTCCATACTGATGGGCGATATCCTTTTTGAACCACCGAAATCAAAAACCCAACGGAATGACTCGATTCCCCAATGTACATGCCGCATCAAACCTTATGGTGTTGATCATCCATAGTTCTGTGGATGGACGAAATCCTGCACTACTTTGAATTTGAATCCATGACAAACCGTTGTTTGTTGCCATTTACAGTGGAATCAAATCCTTCCGTTGGGTTTCTGAAGGGAGGTGCGATTGCTAGACTTCGCAACCATCCGCAGTATCACTGGGTCCGGTCGGGCGCATCCGGTTCATCTCCGCCTACTACCGCTGCACGGTGCGCCACCGCGTCCCCCTCACCCAGCTCCGGCTGGAGGTCGAAGATGTCGGCGCTGTCCGCCTCGTTGCTGAGGCCCATGCCCCGCTCCTGAGCTTCCCAAAATATGAGAAAACTGAACTCTTGGGGCCCGTGACTCAGGATTCGTTTTGGGGGAACATTTCGCGGTTTCGGGGGGGGAAACCTCACTGGAGGTTTGGAGGTTTGGGGTGGGAAACCCTTGTGGGCTAGGTCCCAGATCCCTTGCTAAAAGTTTTAAAAAAATGGTTTAGTGGAAACTTGGCTGGGAAGCACCAAGCTTTGAGGCCGGGGGGGGGGGGGGGATCAAAATTAAACCAGGAGTTGGACCGCAGGTTTTAGTTCATGTGTCCAACCAGGAATCAATTTTGGGTAGCTGTGTTTGACCAGCCATGATTCCCTTTGTGGGAATTCGGAGCATGGCTGTCTTAATTCCCTTATCATTATCGCGGTTCAGCACGTGACTCATACCAAAAGCCATCTGGATTACACGAATGGTGTTGTTTTGAAGCGGACCCCCCCCCCCAAAAAAAAAAAATGGTTGTTTTCTTTTGGTTTCCCTTTAAAAACACCCCGAAACGGGTCACCCATACAAAATTGTGTTCATGTGAGTCCTAATCCAAACCGATCTGTATTACATGGTCTACCCAGAACCATATTTAAAAAAAATGGAAAGGCGGCTGCACCCATTTATGGTTGGGACTATCCCTTACTAACCTTCATCCATGCGGATTTTGATTGTGGCTCATTCCAGAAATCCTCAGTCCTGCTTAGTACCGGTTGGTCCTGGTTTTGACTTGGTTTAGTTCGGGTTTGGTATTGCCTTAGTTTTGGTTAGTATGGAATAGTTCTGGTTGGTATTGGTTTAGTAATGACTCAGTTGTATTGGTCTAGTATAAGGTTGGCAAGCCTGCTTTAGTGGAGCCTCTTAGGATGTAAGGACTTTGATGGGAGGTAGCTCCTTTTTGTGTGTTTGGTTCAAAACGAAAGATGGTGCCCAAGCAGTGCCCACTAAAACGGTCAGGGCCTTTGTGGGCACATAGAGTAAACCCTGTCAAGGACCATGTGCCGTGTGTCTTGGAGGGATATGAAAAAGTGTCATGGTTGGGAACTAGATCGGCTTAACAACTGCCAGGTTTGGAAGGTTCGGTTTGAAACCCTCAACAGCAAAAGCGTTCGACTTCGGCCTGCAGTTCTTCCACAACCCGGGCATGGATATCAAAATGGTGCCCAAGCAGCGCTTGAAAGAGAGAGTCAGGGCTCTTTGCGCTCAATGACTTATGTCTTGCACATGTCTCCAAGAGTCCAGTGGCAAAAGCTGATCCTTTGGAGCCTAAAACTAGATCAAAGCTTCATGGCTGGTGTCCTCGACGAAACAAGAAAGTCTTGCGCTTCGGGTTTCTCGTTCGGACGGCAAACGAGCTCCACAGAAAAACAGAGGAGATGCTGACTCTGATACTGTGGATGGTGGCGAAATCCGCTTCTCGCACCACCTGAGAAACCCAACGGAATAAGTTGATTCCCCAACAGAAGTACCAACCAACAATGGCTTAAACCCCTGTTTCAAAGTGGTGCAGGATTTTGTCCATCCACGGTATGACCTTTGAGAAGCGCCCAAGAGAAACTGTTGTATTTAAGCCATTCAACATTTGACATGATGGATGGAAGAGAATAAGAAGGAAACATGCCCGTCGCGCACCAGGTGAAGATTGGTCCAATCACCAAGGACCCCGAAATACAAAGAACCCCCCCCCCCCTCCACCCCCCCCCACACCAGGTGACGCCCAATTAACTGTTGCTTCCACCAAATTGGTTGCAAAGGTTCACATACACCTTGCCATAACCCATGAAACCAGGTAGTCGAACCTATTCAAAAATTGCCAGTTGTGCGGTTCTGGGAGCTTCCCTCTAATCGGTACTTTGGCTTGGTGGATGTTGAGGGGGTAGCTTCCCCATTTTGCTTCAAAAGGAGGTGGGGTTCAAATCCAAGTCCAAACCACCAATCCAAACCACCAACTAAGAGGGATCTGATTTTGGGAGCCCATGAATCTCACTCGCAGCTGGGTCTCGCTCTGCACGTGGATGCAAAAAGAGCGGCCGTGGACGTCGCAGCTGATCGCGTTGCGCACACCGAAGCGATCCAGGTCCACCTTATTCACCCCCCACTCACTTTGACTCAGCTTCCCGTTGCTACCCCCCGGAATACCCCCTCAAAGCCTCAATAAGACACACCGATGGTGCCATGCACTCCGAAGGCACAATCGGCCCAAAAGGTGATGTTCTGAAAAAGACAAAAGGGGAGCATTTTGTCAGGTCAGTCATGTGTCAGAGCCGCTTGGCCGGTGGAGCATTTGTCGCCAGTCACCAACAGCCCCTTCGATAGCCGCTCAAAGTCTCCCCACTATTCACTGATGTAATAGTCTTGAAACATAATTTGTTATCTATAATATTCCGGGGGGGCGGGGGGCCACATATGCATTGTAGATATACATATATGTGTATAACCCAGTGGTTGTCTGTCGTTTGCTTATCTGAAACTCCGAAACGGGGACATTTGGGGACCATGTTTGGGTCAAGGAAAACCAAGTCGAGGCATTTTGGAGTGCAGTGTAGGACCTTTACCAAATTCCAGGTTTTGGAATAGAATGTCCAGATCTATTATATGGGTGTGGGTCAAAAATATAGGTACCCCCGATTGGAATCCGGGTAAATGGAAACAAGGACTAACTTGCTTGCTTTCTGCCGGTTGGTTTTGGCCCATAGCCATATCCATATCAACAGTAACTTGTGAAAAGAAATCCTCTGAAAGCAGCATCCATGAATACGACAGCCACTAGCTCTTGCCTGGGAAGGCTGCACCTCACCGGTGTATTGGGGAAACATGAATACGACACCCCCCCCCCTTTTGGGTAGCTGAAGGCCTGGGATACCACCACAAACCTAAACAAATAGCAGCGGATCCCATTTAGATTTGGATATGTCCCGCCCAAAAGGTGATGATAGAAATCGCACTGCTTGAATCAACCCAAAAAGGACCAAACACAAGCATGTCCAATTGAAAGATCATCAAAAAGCCAACAGGAAACTCTTGATATAGTGGCCCTCAAAAGACTACATGCCTCCCCATTTAAAAGAACAAAGACACGTGATTTCCTATTTCTTATCTACATGCCTTACATGTAGGTACATCTGTCTCTGTCGGCAAAACGCACCGAGGCTCGGGCTCTTTGGATGGCCTTGTTGCAGGTGTACCACACCATCGCCGCCAGCGCCGGTTGCGGGCCCTGGACAGCGAGTCAACCCCCAACGTTGAGGCCACTTGCGATCGGTGCGAAATCGGCAGGGAAGGAGAAATGGAATGAACCGTTTCGGCTTTGGTCCCCTCAACGGAAACCACCACTTGGCTGGTTCATCTCGGGGTTCCAATTCTCATTCCCTGCCGATTTCGCACCGATCGCAAGATCATTTGGTTGGAATCCCCCCAGGTGTGGTTGCAAGGCGGGTTCCCGAAAGAAAACCCTAGAGGAACCTCACGGAATCCTAAGTACCCCCTTTATGGATTCCATGAGCCATGGCTTAACTTGTGTTCAGAGCTTGGCCCCTAGGCAAGGCATTCAACTACGGTTTTTAAGCACCTACTTGGAGGACCAAAAACCATTGCTCATGGGTTCTCTTTGCCACCCCTCACCAGTGGAACCGCCAAAAAGTGGCCATGGTCCGGTTGCTTAAACATTGTCCCCTGTGGTTTGGGGCAGAGCTTGAGCATGCTTCCGTCCGTACGGACTTCTGTTGGTTCGAAAGCTGGCCCAAGCTTTCGAAAATATCAAGGGTATTGAAACCACCTTCCCCTAAACATGTTGACCCCATATTAATCAACCCCAAGTGTATGAATAGGGGGGGGTGCTTCTCCTCCACTTTTGGAGAGGAACACCCCCACCCCCTGTAAAACTGGGATTGATTCATACAAAATCAACATTACCTTGGACGATCAACCCCCTTTAGGAGGTTCAGGTTGACCACCTGATTGAAATAACCTTTCCGTCAAAACACAACCATCGTAGCTTTGAAGTACCCTTTCCGCAAAAGCACAACCATCTTACCTTTGAACACCTTCCCTTAAACGCCACCATCTTCTCTTTGTCTCCTTTTTCGGCACACGACTCGCCGCACCTGCAGGATCAGAAGCCGCTTGGACCCTCCGGCTCCGGATCCGGGCGGGACCCACTGCACGTCCAGCAGCACCTCCTATCCCGCGAACGGCGGCGTGACTTCTGGCTCATGGGTGTCGCTTTTTTCGGGGACCCCCCCAAAAAAAAGGCAGGGGTTCTACTGAGATGGGTTCAAAGCTTTAGATTTTGGTTTCTTAGGTGCGAAATGGATTTCGCAACTATCCACAGAATAACCGGCGCTACAAATGCCCCTTTTTGACACCCGTTCATGGGCGGAATCGCTGGTGCCAGACCGGCGGAATCGCTTGTACATTTTGTTGCCCACAATGTCTGTGCCTGTCGTGAGGCCGGGACCAAATAAGACAGACACCTTGGTCGAAAGTTTTGGGGGAAAATGCCAACCCCAACTGGGCAACGTGGCCCCCTTCATACATGATTTCCCTTGTACCAGAAGGGCCCAACGAGTTGCGAATTACGACAACCTCGTCTAAGCATTCATTGCGGAGCGATCTGGTGTAATCATCTTGAAGTCGTACGGGTGTGTTTTTTGTAGGGCAGCTCCCAAAATGACTTCAGTTGTTTATCTTAATAACCCGCAAACAAGGCGTACCCTCAACAACGACACATCCATATTTTGGCTACCACACGATTTGCATTGCGAAGGCCCGGGGTGAGAAACCAAGTGGGGGCTGTACTCTGGAAGTGTTACGGAAACCAAATGATGGCTATGTCTTGATCCCTGCTCCTTTCGCTATTGGCCGGAAATAGATGTCGTAACCTCTCAAATCGGCAAGTCTAAAAGTCGGAACCGTCTGGCTAGGAACCGCCGAGATGTTATATATACATCTATTATCTATATATATATATATAATCTATATAGTACCATGTCCCATGTTCCCACCCACCCACCCCCTTCATGGTACGGGCCCTCCAGAACCCCCCCGCTTTTCTGGGACCTCGCCGCCCTGGCCCCCACGCCTGGGCCCAAACCACAAAAACGTATCCCGCATCCCGCCCAAGCGATCCAACCCCGAATCCATCGCAGCTTGAGCAGAAAGAACCCGAAACCCATGAAAAACCCAAGCTGAATCAACCCTAAACCCAACTCTAAACCAGCTCTCATCCAACCGTAAACCACCCCGAAAACCAGCGCCAAACCAACCGTAAACTACCCCAATCCAAACCCCAAACCAACCCTAAACCCAACGCACAACCCAACCAGGACTACAGGAAAGGGGGATCAACCCTAAACCAGCCCCAATCCAAGCCTAAGCCAACCCTAGAAAGGGGGGGGGGGGACGCATTGGGCGCCATTGGCCCAAAAAGGCGCCGCTGGACTCGAGAGACTTCTCTCCCAATCCTCGCTGGTGGAGAGCGCGGTGACCGGCTCCTTCTCCGAGGCGCGCAGCAAGTAGAGGCCGTTGCCTTGAGCCCAGCGACCCTCGAGAGCTTGGTGGGGTGTGTCGTGTTCTTTTCTTGGGGAGAATCCCACAAACATGGTGGGGGGTGGGGGGGGGGAGGGGGATTCTTTTGGTGTCCCTTTAAAACCGCAAAAAAGAAGGAACTCAAGAAGGAACTCACCGCAGTTGTTGGGTTCCCCAAAGAATTTGAGTGTGTCATTCTGTTGAGGCCTACCCCGTGGATTTTTGGAATACCAAAAGGAATGCCATGTTTTCCTCTCCGAGCCGCCCCCGTGACCGTGCAGCGTCCGAAAGGCCAAGTCCTCCTCCGTGACCTCGGAGGCATGGACCAGCACCACCAGGTCCTCACGAAAAGTTAATAGGGTTTTAGGGTTTTAGGGTTTTACCGTTCTAGGGTTTTAGGGTTTAGGGTTTAGTGTAAAGAAAAAGAGGAAAAAAAACGGCACGGCCCGTGCAGAGGGGTCTTTTTGCCACCTGTTGGGAGAAAAAAATTGGGGACCACCTCAAAAAGGAATGCTTCACTATGAGGGGGTCGATCATTTGTCCACGAAAGCCGACAAAAACACCCCCTTGGGCCCGTCCCCAAAGAAGAAATCGTGGCGGTTTGTTGGTCCCCAAATCAAAGGGAATGGGGGTGTCGGGTTTCAGAAAGTTCTGTACATATCTGGAGAAACCAGCCCGTCTCCAAATCAGTGAAGGGGGCGGGGTTCGGGATTCATTTTGAAAGAGGGGGTTCTCAAAATTAGTTACGGGGGGGTTGGGTTCAGTTGCAAGGCATCAGTGAAGGGATTTTTTGCGAAATCCTCTTCTCGCGCCTAAGAAACTCATGCCAATGTTGTTTGGCTTAAACACAACAGCCCCACTTGGGCGCCATCTTCAAGGTCATACTATGTCAAAGGGTTGTCATGCCAAAAATTCCCAGGTATGTTGTTTTTCAGCTTGTGTAGTAAGGGATATTGACTGTCCTCCCTTTGCTATGGACCACCCCAGGTAAGTGGGGGAAATATTCCACGTTAGTGGTTGGTTTTAGGTGCAACATTTTGGAGGAACAACCCAAGAAGCGGTTGTTCCAGGGGTCGATCCCAAATTTGCGGAATGAAGTTATTGTTGTTTTTACATAGGACTCATACCAGCGTTTGCAGAATAAAAGGGCCAGCCCTAGTACATAAAGCCTTGGAAAGACCCCACGTGGTGAAAAGGAGGAGGGTTGTTTGGTGGTCCCCAGCCATCCAGTTTAATACGATGGTTTTGTTTTTTAATGTTTTTAGTTGGTTCAGTGGTGGTGTCCACTATACCATCTTGCTGGTGCTCAGCAGGGTGTTTGGAATAAACCTGGGGATCGTAAAGGAAATCATAGGCGATGGTTTATAGGGGACATAACCAGAAAGTCTTGGGATATGCATTTTGGAGAATCGGTTTGTCACCAGGTCGTGATTCTCTTTTGACCCGAAGTCACAGGGAACCCTTGAGGCCAGGACCATGTGTGAAACCCTCCCTGAAAGCTGCTCCGAAGCACTGCCCATCGACCTACCCCAGAGGGTTCTCAGAAGAGGTCTCTTTGGTAAGAAGTATTCTGCTGGGTGGGGCAGCACCAATGACTATTCATTTGGGCCTTTAGGCGATTGGGAAGTCGAGCAAAACTACTTTTGGGCGCATTTTCCCGGTAAACCGCCGATTAGAGGGGACATTTTGAGGACGTCACTTTGACACCCCCCTTTTGGACACGTCCTTTTTTTGTTCAGTTTGCAAACTTTGAGCTTTTGGTTGCCAGGTCTTCTGGCTTCTGACAAAAGGGGGGTTGGCACCTTTGCCATTCTCTGAGGTTTCAAGCAAGCTCGACGTGAAATTTCAACCTGAACCATCAAAAAGGCTGCCAGTCAGGTCATCTTCATTCATCTTCTGTTCCTGTGAAGGGGAATCATGATTCCCTGAAAACCAAGTAAAGCCCCCGGTCTTTCTAGGGGGTGATTTCCCATTCTTGTCGACCATAATTCTTTTCAAAAACCGGATCTGTTTTTCCTGGGTTTTGGATGGTCTCCTGAAAAGAAAGAAGGATCCCTGGAAAGAATGGAAATGGAAGGTACCCCTAGAGTCTTCTGACCACACACCCAGCCGAGTCCTTGCCCTCCGAAGGCTCCCACTTCATGGTCACCCAGGCGGCGTCGCAGAAGAGACCCTGCGCAAGCTGCGCTCACAATGACAACCGTTGGGTTCCAAAAACCCAAGGCTGACCCTTTAACAAATGGTTGGTCATTGCCCAAAATTCAGGGGTCATGGACCCATCTTTAAAGGGTCATGGAGACTCCAGGTAGGGCTACTTTAAAGACCTATTTCTTTAGGGCACAAAAGCACAATCGCTTCCATCGCACTCCCAACCGCTTAACCCCCGCCCAACCCCTGCCCAACCCCAACCAACCCCCCCCAACCCCAGCCCAACCCAACCCCACCCAACGCCAACCCAACCCTACCCAACGCCTCCACCCAACCCACCCAACGCCCCCACCCACCCCCACCCAATCCCCCCCCCCACCTAACCCCCAACCAACCCCCCAACCTCCCAAGCCAAAACCCCCCCCCCCCCCGCAAGAGCTTCCGCGCCTTGGTCAGCGCCGGCCGCGCGCTCGCCGCGCTCGACGCCGCGTCGCTGAAGACTCGCACCATGGCCGGGGCGCACGAGGACGCCGCCGGGGAGAAGGTGGCGAAGGCAGTGCCCCAACTGGAGACCTGGCCATCAAAGACTTCCCCCAGTGACCCGAGACCAAACCCCAAGGAAGAAACCTATTTGGCTGTGGCTCAAAAAACCGGTACCCAAAATGGGTTGCCCTGGTAAGTGGAAACATGGACCAAAACCCGCGTAACCCCTCCTGTTTAACTTTGAGCCACAGCCATGAAGAAACATGACAATGAAGCCTATCTAGAGTCTCCCTGACCCCTAAAAAAGGAGTCATAACCCCTGAATTTTGGGTAATGACCCCATTTTTTAAGGGTCATGGAGACTCCAGGTATTTGTTTGCTCTTGCGCTTGTCTTATCCTTGCAACCTTTGAGGAAAGCGATAGTTTCGGGCCCTTTGGTCTGGGGGGGGGGAATCATCGAAAGCGATCAAACGGGGCGACGGATCCGGTGATAGATTCCCGTTAAAACCTGAGCAAACTGGTTGTCTCGTGAAGCAACCCCAATGTGGGATTGGATTTGGGTTGTCCCTTTGGTTTTCGTCAGCACAAAGTACTGCAGGGAGTTCCGAAAAACTTGGCGCGTCTGGGGTACACAAGAAATAATTTTGGGAGTCTGGCCCGCATTTCCCAAAGAGGAGACCCCAGTTCAGTTTGGAAGGGGTCAACACCCGACGCGATGACGAAACGTCCATGAGCGCAAATCCCTGTTAGGAAGCAAAACCAACAGCGCAATCAGAAGCAGTTTCTTCAAGGAAACCAAGATGGAAAGCCAAAAGCTTGCCTCCGGGCTTGCTGGAAAGAGCTTTCCTCAAACCCTCCAGTTGATCACCGGTGTCTTCAGCCCCAAAAGTGTCTTAAGACATGTTCTTGCTAATTCTCAGGAATGAGTTGGAATGACCCCTTCGTTTGTGGCTTTCTTTTCAGAGTCCCCTTCGGAACTTGCGGCGGCGGTGGGTCAAGAATAGGTGCCCGAAATGGATTCTCCCGAGTGGAAAGAAACACGGGCCAGAACCTGCGGTCCATGTGGCTATGGATTTTAATAAGGGGCCCGTTTGGTGGACATCATTTAAGTGGGGATTCATGTCCACCAATCACTTTTGAGGTGGTTTCCTATTAAAATTCATGGCCATATCCTGGCGAGTTTCGATTTTGACCCCAAAAAACTACAAATCCTTGGGTCTGCTGAGTGGCCTGCACCTGAGACACCAAGGAGACCGGGATCTTGTTCACCACCGCCAGAGCTCGGTCCAGCACCAGCACCTACCGGTCCAGACCCGGCAAGGGGGCTGAAAGGGAGGCTTGAAGGGGGCTTGAAGGGGGGGGGGTTGAAGGAGGACTTGAAGGGGTGCTTCGAAGGAGCTTCGAAGGGGAGAAAAGGCCATGGTGGCGTCGTCAAAACAGGTACTGGCCCCCGAGTCGACGACCCAAGGGGGTCGCAGCCGGACCTTTGGAGTTCTCTCAAAACTGCCCCGGAACCAGTGATTCCGTTGGCCTTTCTGGGAACCACCAAAGCTTCGCGAAGAAATGTTCGACCCACGGCTGCAACATTGGCCAACCCCAGCAATCCTTCAGCTATGGCCTTGGCTTATAACTTACCTACTTTTGGAGCATCCAAGCCTCGTCCTTCACAAAGCGCAGGGCGAAGCGTTCGTCCTGGGTCCATTGGATGGGGGGCCACCTGAGCGGAGCGTGAGGTTCCCTGAAGCGTGGCTCGTAGGCTCCCAGCTACCCGTCGTCTTGCCCAGAAATTGCATCTACCTACTGTGGATGGTTGCGAAAAATGCGGAATTCGCGCCACCGAACTCAGAAACCCAAGACAATGATTCGATTCCACTGTTCATGCCGACAATGATTTCACCGATGGTTTCAAAGTGGTGCAGGATTTCGTCCATCCACAGTATATAGTAGGTATCCACGGAAACCACCCCTTAGCGAAATGGAAAACGTCAGGTTCCACACTATACTGGCAACTGTGATCCAATGGGTTGGATAACCCAATGTCTTTTGGAGACAAGAAGGAGAAGACAAAGACAAACATGGGTATGGGTCAAAATTAAACCACCAGAAAACCGCGGGGTTTACTCCTTGGTTCCATTTGCCAAGTTCCATTTTGGGGTGACCCGATTTTTGACAACCACAGCCACATGAGTTGGCCTGGAAAATGCTGAACTCCACCGAAGGCGCCGTCCCAAGTCGCATCCCCGGCTCCAAAGAATGTAGGTAGCCCGCTGACCCGGCTGCTTGGGGCCCGTCCCCGATGGCATCCCAACAACCCTCAGAAAGGAGAGCCAAAAAGTGGCCTTGCGAGACTTTTTCGGCAAACATGGAATACAACAAGGAACCTTTGGGCTAATGCGACAAATGGATCTGGTCACTTCCAAGTTGGCCATGTCATGGCCCCCGCACTGTGAATGGACGAAACCATTATATACAACTGGTTTGATGTCATGCAAAACCAGATGTTTGGGGTATTTACAGGGGAATTGCAGGGTTCTGAGGCTGGCGCAGGGTTTTGTCCATCCACTAGGAACCCTGCTACTGGCTGGCAAATTTCCCGATGCTCAACGGCTACTTATTCCAAGTGATAGATCATTTGGACCATGACACATATTCGGTTAGATCAAAAGTCCAGTAGCCCCAAAACCTAATACCTCCAATGTCCGTGGCCAACATAGGAATCCTTATCATGAGTTTCGCAGTTCCCGTACTAAGAGGTGGATGACCATGGACGAATGCATCCCGAAAATAATGACCACCAAAGGCATATCTTGGCTCCTCTTTGGTGTGACCAAATCTCGCTCCAGCAAGACCCAGACCCGTTGGAAGCCAATGGCTCTTCCTATGTTGGCCACGGACATTGGAGACATTAGGTTCTTCTGACCTTTTGCTCGGGAGCAGGCGAGATGCCCCTAAATGTTTAACTTTTAGTGGTTTCATGGAAAACCCATTAGTTGACAAAAAGTTAAAGTCATAACATCCAAGCAAAATGCACCAAAGAAATGGACCAAGTTTTCCATTTCGTTTGGTACCCCGCACTCGCCCGCCTGCCCGGCGCAATGTGGGGCGCGAAGAAGCGCGCCAGCGGCCGCGCGAAGAGACGGCCAGGGCCCTTCCTCAGAAAAACCGTTCCAACTGCCCTCATCCAAGCTGTTAAGGGTATCTCTAGCCTTTCTGTCTAAAGAGAAACCATTGACACAAACCCAGACCTCCATTTGCATGTTTTGTCCCTGGAAAGAATGAGAACATATGTATATATATATATTTACATACACATATGTGTGTATGTGTGTATGTATATAATGTGTATATATATATATATAGTTGGTCCCCCGTTTTTGTTTAAGTGGAAAAATGAGAAAACTGCATGCTTTGTATGTGTTTGTCATAACAACATGATTTATAGCAAAACGGATTCCGTTATGCGGTGGCATGCCGATAATTGTAACAAGTTAGCAAAAACCCTCAGTTGGTTCATTGTTTTACTAATTTTATGCAAAACACACACTGTGTTTGGCAAATGTCACCTTCATTTGACGTAAGATTTTTGGACAACCAAAACCTTTCGAAAACCAAAAAACTAAAACACTCTGAGGACAAGTCTTGGTTCTGCACAAAGTGTTGCTTGTTGATTTTCTCCAGTTTTTGTTTTTTATTGGTTTTCCTCGAGTTTCTTTGGTTTCCTGAGTAGAAACCTTAAAAACTGGATGGTTGTTTGTTGTTAGTCTTATTTGATGGAAAACAAGACTCGATGGTTTTTTTTGTTGGTTTTCTCGGCTTTTTCTTCGCATTGTTGATTACTAGAAGAGGCAAACGCGCAACCTTACAGGAAATGTAAACCAACAAAACATGTATGCCCATTACGACTGACTAACCTTCAAATATATATATATATGTACATACGAATATATAAACTTAAGACGTGCTAATTGCGCAATCAAGTTGCTACAATCCAATGCTGCAATTGCACAATGCTCAAAGCAATGAATTGCTTCCACATTATAGTGCATGTAAAGGAAGAGATGATCCAACTGTGAGAAGTAGGCAGATAGATCTGACAAGGAGGTCACCTGTTGGAAAGAACGGAGCAAAGACTTGACGAGAAGACGAGGAAGTAACCTGATGCATGTGACAGTGAAAATAAATGAAGAGAAACCGAGGATGAAATAACGAGAGTTTACACGGAGGTAACGCGGAGGTGACGAAGAGGTGACGAAGGGGCGACAAAGAGGTGACGAGGACATAACAAGGAGACGACATAAAGTAAATGAGAGATAACCTCGAGGTGACCTCCTGACGAGGAGGTGACCTCCTGGTGAGGAAGTGAGCTTTGACGAAGATACGGTGCTTGGATGGGCGGCCTACATGCTGTGTAGTTGGTGAACTTAGCCGACTTGCCAAGCTGCTCGCAAGTCACCCAACCTGAGTTAGTAAGTCTGCCAAGTCTGAACTAGTAGACTTATTACTCAAGTTAGACAACCTGTAAGCGGATTTGCAAATCACATAGGTTCGCTAACTATATGAAATGAAGGTCACCCATCCAAGCGAGAAACAGACGTGTTGTGATAGACATTGAGGATATCAGCTTCGACGTTTAAATGATTTGCTTGTTGGCATTACAGATGCAGATGTGGGATGGTTTAGGAGGAAGTCTCACAGATGACGGATTTAAGTGCAGATGAGGGCTTGCAGGGCAGGAAAGGTGGTTCAAGGAGCGGCAACATCTCAACCCCTACCAACATCTTCTTGGGGTTGGGCTCAGAGCAAACCCGTCAGAAGATTTCTGACCTCCACTCCCTCTCCTTTGTCGTCAAGTACTGGTTGGTGGCCATTGGTCCTGACCAAACGGCTTCACTCGTTGTAGGTTAGGGAAATATGGCTGGTCGCAAACCAAGGTGGCTATTGGTCCTGACCAAACAGTTTCACTTGCTGTAGGTTCGGGAAATATGGTCGTAAACCAAGCTGGCTATTGGTCCTGACCTTGCGGTAGGTTAGGGAAATAATGCTAATATCCCGAAAAGTTCAAGGTTCAGGATCCGAGCCAGCATTCAATAAGGATTTAGGCTGGCAAGGTTTAGGATCCGATTTGCGAGGTGCCAAAACCCGAGCCCTGAACCCCTTCTCCTCACCCCCCTCACCCCCACTTGGCCGAATGCAACATGAGACTGGGAGATGTTTGATTCGTAGGACATAGAATCATCCCTCTTCACAGGCCTTTTCAGTCAGGGATAGAGAACATGACATGGGCCACATGGGCCATATGCCCCGGCCCCTTGGCTGTGAAGTTTGGGTTACCCTCCCTCCCCGAACCAGACTACCAGTATGCTTGGCCGTGACTATGTATTTCAAAAACGGGGTGTGTGGCTTAAATGAGGGGCGCCTTTTGCAGGATGTGAGAGGTCCCCTAAGGTCCACTATTGAGGAAAATGGCGCCTGGGCTGGTTTCTTCGAAAAGCTAAAAGCAAAACGACAAAATCCACTAACATTAGTTGCGGGCTTTGCAAATTAGCGGACTTAAAGAAAACGGATTCGGTTTTCATTTGGTTCCCCACGCACAAACCAAAAGGGATCTATTTAGGACCATTTGGCCTACTTGAACTTCAACCCACGTCATGTAAGCAGATACAACCATGGCAGGTGAGATAGAGCTACTTTGGCACACATCCATGGCAACGTACATTCCCCTGACGTTGATGTTCAACCAACTTTGAAGGTGACAGCCATGGCAACGTAACTGGGAAACTGGGAAGCTGGGGTTCGATCGTCTCCGGCGAACCATGGGCTTATAATTTCAGTGGATCCCGGCTACCCGGTCACTGTCCTGAAGTGGCGCTGGCACGCTGAGATACCTATACTGTTCACTGGACCCGCTGGGTTGTCAAACTGAACAATGAACCCTACCTCAAAGGGAAAAAGGGCCGCGGCCCCCACCCCATTCCATGGATCTCGTCTTCGCAGGGAAAAGAGAGGTCTCCCCCCTTTGTCCAATCAATGTTTGAGGGACCCGGGGCCAATCAAGCCATGTTTACTTGGCGCCCGGGGCCAAGACGTTCATTCCCTCCGAGTCCGCGACCGCCACACCCGGTCAACGGATCCAGCGGGTTACCTCGCGGGGGTGTCCTTCCCTCCGAGCAGGGCTGTGGGAAATGACCACTTCTGATACAACAACAAAGGCTTCCCAAAGATTAACCCCCCATAAACGGTAGAAGATTCCCTTATATCACAGAAGTGGAGATAAACCCCTTGATCCCACAACCCTGCCTCCGAGTCACCCTCCACCCCCGCCGTGTTTTTGTTCGCTTCCTTCGGCCCAAGGCGCCGCACCCTGAGCCGCAAGGACTTGGCGGCGCCGATCTCCTCGCTCAAGCTGCGCGCGGAGAGCGTCACGTGGTTCACCGCCAGGATCCGATCCCCAGGCAGCCTGGGGGATCGGTCCAAGGGAGAGGGGGGGGGGGGAAGTAACAAGTAGTCTTTCAGCAGGCAAGGTGGAAGAGGGGGGGGGTATTCGTATTCCCTCAGGCAAGGACCTGCTGAATCAAGCCCATTTTTTGGGGGGGTGGTCCAAGGGAAAGGAACCACCGATCCTTTCGTTTGAAGCCCCCAGGTTGTACCCTTCCAGAAGCCATGGCGGAAAAAAGCGATCCGGCGTTCCGGATGAGGTCTGAAATGGGGAAGCCCCCGAATGGATGGCCGGGCTTCCCACAAAAGGCACCCAAGTAATACACGCAACCAAAGTGATAAACCCAACTAGCAGCAGCTTCCTCTGACTGTGGTGTCCCATGAACCCTCTACAAGAACCAGTTCAAATCCCCCAACCACCAATCCACCAATTCAGGATTACCTGAGCGGTTTGGATCGCTGTGGCGTTCCCCCCTTTGCGTGCTGGTCTCACTGACGTGAGGCTTCAGCAGAAGTTCCAATTTTGAACGCTTGCTGCCCAAAGGAAGCGCCCCCATATTTGGCCTTCGGCCTTTTTCTATTTGGCCCCCAAATTTGGCCTGAAAAAGACATCGTAAGCCCCGCGGCAAAGAACCTCTCCCTCCCCATTCAAACGAAAAAAATAGAACATAATACTTGCCTGGTTTCCCCATGACCCTCTTCCCCGCAAGGTTCTTCCTGCGATCCGAGCCGCAGCAAGTCGCCGGCGCCCGACTCTGCCACTTTCACGTTGTGCTGGTACACCAGGCCTGGGCTGTCAGTCAAAGGCGGGTCAAACGATAGGGTGAAGACAGCTTCTGCTTACCTGGAAAAGGGAACTTCTTGAAAACTGAGTTAGGAAACATGGCTGGAAAAGCCCAACAAAGTCTCAAAGGTCGAACGATGTTGAGCGGTTTCAACATCCCCGTGCTTCCATTGACAACTAGGTAGCCAGGCATTCTTGCGACTCTAGGTTTCACATGATTGCTTGCCTGGTCACGTCGCAACTGGATGCGCTTGGTCTGATAGACCAGTGTTTGCAGAGGTACTTTCTGTTGGGTTCCCAAAAGGAAACCGATACAAAACCACTTTGCGCCACGGCGACAAACCCAGCGAGTTTAACCAAAGGTGTCCAAGTGTCAGCGGCCAAGTTCAAATAGAGCTCGCTCCGAAAACCAAATTTCAGCCTGCCTCTTGGTGGTTTGGAGCGGTTTGAACGAGACAGTTTGCCATGCGTCTTCAAGAACCAGGGCTTCAAATCCTACCGATCCAAACCACCAGTTGGGGCTAAGCAGGTCATTTATACAAGGAATGCGCAAGAACAATACGTGTACATGATACATACAAATATACAATTTGACATTGCTTAAAAACAAGAATTGTACAAAAAAAAACAAGACACCGTTTTGGGCTGGTTGATTTTGTAGAGACCCCCCAATCAGCATCCTCAACAGCGGCCGTTTGGGTTCCTCATACTTGAACATCACCCAGGCTTAAACCTCACCCCACCAAAAGGGAACTTACTCAAACTGGTGATGCCTAAATCCTCCAAAAGGGGAAATATAGATGGGGTCAGCCCTTTCTAAGCCCAAGACCTCTGAAAAATACCATTGCAACCAAAGCTTGGCAACTTATTTGGCAACCTCTTTCCTTTCACCTATCTCTCACTTGTTCCGGTAACCCCAAAGGCAGCCAAATGTAAGTATCCAACATGAAACTCTTGAGTCTTTGAGGCGGGTTTTGTTCGGGTCTCTCTAACAGCCAAGAGACCTCCCTGGTCCACCCGCCGCAACAAGAGGCCGCTCTGACCGTCCAGATGGTCCACATTGATCATGAGCCGCACGTCCGGAGGCTCCTTCTCCAGCGTCACCTGGAAGCTGACTCGAGCCATGAATCGGACGTTTTGGGTGCGAATTTGCGCTAGTGAAACATGTTCCTTCGATAAATAGGGTGAACCTATGTATATATATATATATGTATGGGTTTGTGACCAACCCCTTCAAATGGCAAGGGTTTACTTTTGGCTTCTCGAGAAAAGAGTGCCCCAATAATAATCAATAATAATAATTTTAATAATAAAGAAGGAGCCCTCTATAAACCAACGAACCACATAAAAACATGGTTTATGTGTATCTCGCCAGTTGCCTTTGACAGCTGCGGGTTTGATTAAGCTCTCGGCATCAGCGGGTCAGGACATGGTTCGAAGTGTGCTGCTACCAGGTTCGCAACCGGCTCTGACATGCTTTGCTTCACATTTCGCGAGCAAAAGTAATCCGACCATCTTGCAGGGATGAAATCATCCTCCTCATTTGCTCACAGCTTCACAGTGCTTGTGACGGCTCAATGCACTCACGCGACTTTGGTTTACTTGAGCAGCAGAACCAGAAGCATTCTCGCCTCAGTTCGTCTCAGGGGAAACCCCTTCCATTTGCACCTAAAGAGCGCCGAGCATTTCTCTTTCAAGCGCCGTGTCAATGGGAGGGAGGATTGATATTTTGTCACAAAGCAACAAGTCGCAAACGAGCAAATGGGAGGTAGTAGAAGGTAAACATAAATGAACGGTGTATGTGTATAGATATATATATATATACATATATGGTACCGCCCCCCCGGGAACCCCCCCTTAGCAAAAAAATAAGCTCGGGCGATATCCCCAACAGCACCACACCCTCCCAGAATCCCCGCAGAACGCCCCAGGACCATCCTTACCGCCGGTGTTGCTGAGGATGCCGCCTTGTGACTTTCTAAAGCAAAACTAGGCACCCATATTATAGCTCAACGCCGGCTTTCCTTAGCATGCGGATTACAACTGTATCTAAAGCAAAACTAGGCGATGCCAGCTTGGTACAGTTCACGGGGCCCGACTGAGTCGGGCCCCGATCGGGGCGCGATGGCGCAATCGGGGCCGATCCGGCGCAATCGGGCCAATCGGGCCCCGACCTAGGCCCGGTGAACCGCGCAAACCGTTCTCATGCAACTTTCGTGGAGCTCAACGTGAAACTTTGTTGGAACCTTTCCTCAGGGCTGCCCCATAGCTTTTGCAGAACCTGGCGGCAACCTTGTGGAACGTTTTTGGAACCTTACCTCATAGCCCTTGCAGCCTCGTGGAATTCTTGGAACCCAAAGCCCACCAAGCAGCAATGCCAAGCATTTACTCTGCTGCACCGTGTCCTGCAGCGACGTGGTCAGCCTGGACCAGCCCTCGAAGAAATTGGTGGAACCCTGGTGGAACCCTGGTGGAACCCTCGTGGAACCTTACCTCAAACCACCCCGGACCACCCCGCAGCCCTTGCAGAATGTGGTGGAACCCTGGTGGAAACCTCGCAGATGGTGGAACCCTGGTAGAATGCTGGTGGAAACCTGGGTGGAACCTTATCGCTCCGAACCACCCCGGAGCCTATCTGGGCTGAGACCCCAAAGCTTTCAGCTGTTGTGGAAAAACAAAAAACACACAAAAAGCTGAAAAATCAAAGAAAAACATGGTCAGGAAAAACCAAGGTCCTATGGAAGTGAAAGAAACCAAGACCTTCTGGTGGAAGGGCACCAAACCAGAAACACTAGAAAAATAAGCTCAGGCGATATCCCCAACAGCCGGGACCCACCTCACCGCCGGTTTTGCTGAGGATCAAAGCTCAATCGCGCCCTGACCGGGGCCCGACGGCGCAATCGGGGCCCCGATGGCCCGACGGCACAATCGGGGCCCAATCGGGGCCAGACGGCGCAATCAGCCCGATCGGGGACGGCGCAATCGGGGCCCGATCGAGGCCTGACGGCGCAATCGGGGCGCGATCGAAGCCCGACGGCGCAATCGGGGCCCGATCGGGGCCCGATCGGGGCCGACGGCGAAAATCGGGGCCCCTCGTGAAACCACCCCGGACCACCCACCCCGGACCACCCCGCAGCCCTCGCAGAACCTGGTGGAACCCTGGTGGAACCGTGGAACCTTGCCTCAAACCATCCCGGACCACCCCGCAGCCCTCGTAGAACCTGGCGGAACTCTGGTGGAACCCTCGTGCAACCTTACCTCAAACCACCCCGGACCACCCCGCAGCCCTCGCAGAACCTGGTGGAACTCTGGTGGAACCCTCGTGGAACCCTCGTGGAACCTTACCTCAGGGCCGCCCCGGACCACCCCGGAGCCTATCTGGGCTCAGACCCCAAAGCTTTCAGCTGTTGGGGAAAAAAAGAAAAGCCTAAAAACCAGGGGCCTCATAAAGAAGGGCCAGAAAACAGGAAAAACCAGAAAACCCAAAAAACACAAAAAGCCAAAAAGCCAAAAAGCCAAAAAGCCAAAAAACCAGGGTCCTCCAGAAGCAGGGTGACCTCCATCATCTGTCTCCTAGACCCTGTGTTTTCCCTGATTGTTTCTGGTTTTTTCTGGTTTGGGGCCCTTCTTCATGAGGACCTTGTTTGAGGGGATAGATCTGAACAACCCAACAAAACTCAGGGAAAACCAAACAACAGAACACGGGCAAAAACCACCAAGACCAATCCCATTTGGCAAAAACCGACACTTCTCCTTTAAGTTGTGTTTTGTTGTTTTCTCGAGTTGTGCTTCTTGGCATATCCATAATTTGGGCAGGTTTGGTGCTGCCATGATTGAGCCTTCTTGGAGCCACAGTGAACGGGTGTGACCAGTGAACTAGATGTTCATTGTTAAGTTGGAATTCAACACTGCTTTTCACAAAGAAAGAAACGTGGATCATGGGTGGGGTGTGAGCATATGCATATATATATATATATACATATAGCAAGTGCGGGGGTTCGGGGGGGGGGGGGTAGCATACATATATATATATATATATGTATATATATATATATATATATGCATACACATATTCGTACAATCATAATTTATTTACACTGTCATTGATTGAGGCCAATACGATGGCCCTTTCTTCACGTCTTAAATGGTCTTGAGCTGACTTGTGCAGCTGAGAGGCGTGCCAATCACGTCAAACTGTTCTGAAAAAAGGTCACGCTGTTTAAAACAGCTGGAAAAACATGAGCAGTAGAAACCTACGGTAGCGCTTTCAACCACACTAATTTACTAGCTTTCTCCTGATCAACTCATCGCTCGACGCATTCTGCCTCATAGCTTCAGCGTCCAAACGCTCAAACACTGTCTGAAATACTCCTTCGCCACTTTCTGCAATGGCCAAAGGATCCTCCGTGATGCCCACAATCTCGCAAGCTGCTTGGAACTCTATCATGGTTTTACCTTGCAACGTGCACTGTCTCATCACTGCAGCAGTCTTCTCAATCCTGCAACCCATTTGGGAATCCCGATCTGCTTGCACTGACCTGCTGGAAGCGCGCAAAACACGCCGGCTTCGGTTATCAGAATGAGAAAACCGACAAGCCGCGCCAAATCTGCAATGACCACGCAACCAGTGCCTGCACTGCCTTCGGGTTCTACTGCGACTTCGGGCTTGAGCATGCCCACGTGGCCGACCATACCTATCAGGTTCATTATCAGCATCCGCTCCGTCACTATGTTCAGCAGAAGGAGAAAATCCTGGGCCGGGGTCATTGTACATTTCGACCGCTAAAGTAAAGTCTGTGATGCCATGGTCTTCAGCGAACTCCGCCACATCAGCAGCGTAGCCCATGGTAGCGACCCTCTGCTATGAATGCGGCTTTTGATCAGACACGCTGAGGTGGGAACATGATATGTGTTGACCAAAACTTCCCCTTGCACAACATCTGGGTCTTGGCCGAGGGTGAACAGATTCAGCGCATTGTCGCGGCCGGCGTGCTCAAAAAAACAGCTCTGCGCCAAGCAGTTTTCTCCCAGCCGCGGGTTGTCAAAGGGGTCCCTTGGAATGCACAACAGCCCTACAGAACAAGGACCCCGTGGAGAAATGAAAGCTACCTCGGGAAAACGGAAGCCATGCATCAAGCTTTGCTGTTTGCTGCATTCGTTTGTTGATTGCTAGACTCAGTTTGGTTGATTGGTTCTGCTTGGTTGGGCTTAACTTGGCGTGTGTTTTGTGCTTGCTTTGCAGTTTGATTGCTTTGCTCTCTTGTGTGCTTGCTTAGTTTACTTTCTTGTGTATTTTGCGAGCTTGCATGCGTGCTTGCCTGCCTGCCTGCGTGCCTGCCTGCTTGCTTGCTTGCCTGCTTGCCTGCTTGCCCGCTTGTCCGCCTGCCTGCTTGCCCTACTTGCCCTGCTTGCCCTGCTTGCCCTGCTTGCCTGCCTGCTTGCTTGCTTGCCTGCTTGCTTGCCCGCTTGCCCGCTTGCCCGGTTGCCCTGCTTGCCCTGCTTGCCCTGCTTGCCCTGCTTGCCTGCCCTGCTTGCCTGCCCTGCTTGCCTGCCCTGCTTGCCTGCCTGCTTGCTTGCCTGCTTGCTTGCCTGCCCGCTTGCCCGCTTGCCCGCTTGCCCGCTTGCCCGCTTGCCCGCTTGCCCGCTTGCCCGCTTGCCAGCTTGCCCGCTTGCCCGCTTGCCCGCTTGCCCGCTTGCCCGCGTGCCCCCTTGCTCGCTTGCCCGCTTGCCCCTTGCTCGCTTGCCTGCTTGCCTGCTTGCCCCGCTTGCCCTGCTTGCCCTGCTTGCCCTGCTTGCCCTGCTTGCCCTGCTTGCCCTTCTTGCCTGCTTGCCTGCTTGCCTGCTTGCCTGCTTGCCTGCTTGCCTGCTTGCCTGCTTGCCTGCTTGCCAACTTGCCCGCCTGTCATGCTTGAGGACCAGTGTTTGCTTTTTTCCCTGCAGGCGCCCTTCTTGTTGGGAAAACCCCATGCTAATTTGAGTCGCAATCAAAACCTGGTGAAAAAATGGTCGACCGAGAACCATGTAAAGAAATAAGGCTGGGATCGTCCCTTACTAACCTTCATCTACCCAGGTTTTGAGCATGTGGCTCACTTGTTCTTTCCAGCCAAGCCCAACCCCACCCACCTACCCACCAGTGCGCCTCGATTTCATCGAGGCCGTGCCGCCTTCTGGCGAGCGCCCACACGCTCAAATTCTCCGCGCGACCGAAGGCCATCTTTCCATTGCCCTTGCCTCGAGTCGACGCTGAGGAGTTCCCTATATTCAGCTTCCCTCTGGTGGTTTAACGCAGCTGCAACCGCTGGATTGGTGGTTTAGATTTGGGTTTTTGAAACTCTGATCCCTCTGCATTAGTGGTGTGGATTTGTGTTATTGAAACACTGATCTTGAAAACCACCCACAAGCCATTGGCCATATGGGCATGAACTTTAATTAGCGGCCCTTTGTGCATGATTTGGGGGCCATGTCCTGCCACATGTGAGGTGGCTTCCTACTCATAGCCATATGGCTCGTTTTTGGAGGCTCGGGTGGGTTGGTTCAATGGGAAAGCAAAAGGACACAAGTCGTTGCTGGGGTCCCCCTAATTGGACACACAATGTATGGTTGCGAAACTCAGAAATCGCTGAGTCAATTCCCCTGTAAGTACCGACAAACTATGGTTTCAAACATGGCTTCAAAGCGGTGCGAAATGGAGTTCTTCCACCGACAGTATTTCTTCTTTGGACATCCCCCCACAATGAAGCTCATTTTAAAAATGGCCTGCAGTCTGCGATCCATGTCCGCCAGTCAATTGACGGGGCCCCGAGAAATAAACAGGGCGGAATTCGTGCCCTGGGCAAGACGTGCCCTCACCGCTTGCAAGCACAAAAGTTGAATATTTTTTCCCTAGATAGCTTTAGCTGTAGGGAATTCTTACTTCTAAAGACGTGGGGCATGTTTTTTTTTGGCGAAATCGGGCCGGGTGAGTGCTGCAGGTGCTGGTCATGATATCTGGGGTGTGGCTGGTGTATTTCTGGACACCCAGCTGTCCCTAGGCTAAGCCCAAGAAACAGGGTTCCATCACTTGGCTCTTTCTACTCAGTCGAGGTGACGGCGACTGAACCTGCACTTCACTTCACGGTTCTAGTGAACGGGGTTGCAGGGTTTTGTTTCTTGCATCGGTTTGGGTTCAGAGGGTGTATGTGGCGTTTGCCGGGAAAAAGAGTTCATGGATGGCTTGTGCCGTGCATGGGTTTGGCAAACCACGGGACACCCGCCCCCATAAATCAACCAGAGAACCACCTAAAGCATGGGTAAATGTTGCGCGAAAAGGTGGCTTCCTTTGGTGTTAAGCCAACTCAAACAAGGGAACCCTTCACTTCCTATTTTCGGTGTATGTTTTTTAGGGGACCAACTCCCCCTCCAAACTGGATAACTCAGTTCTCCTCTTGGCCTCCCCCTCTAACCCCAAAACAACAAGGGGCCCCTCCAAAATGGATCTTGATTTCGGTTTTCCTTTCAAGCTTCCCTCTATCCCCCCCCTCCACAAAAAAAGAAAAAAATCCTTTCAAGCTTCCCTCTAGCCCTCCTCCCCCAATGAAAGAAAGTCCTTTCAAGCGTCCCTCTAACGCCCTCAATAAACAAAAAAAGAACAACAGTAGCAGGTACCCAGGTACCCGTCGCCTCTCGCCTCTCCCGCGGGTACCAATCTTCAGCGTTGAGGCGCCCTTCTCCACTTTGAGGGCCGTGTGCTCCCAGGTCACCAGGAACGACCCCACCGGCGAGAAGTAGAAGCCTCGCTTCGCGGCCACACCGGCTGCACCACCGGTTTCGACCGGCGACCGAAGACCGAAACCGGGAAGCCGAGGAGAGGCCCTGACCGGTGCGGTGCTCGGTGTGTGCGTGGTTTTCCTTTTTTGTTGCGAGTTCTCGGCTTGGGTGGCTAACTTGGGAAGTAGAATAGAACCGTGGCAACTGGTTAGTAACTGGGGTACTCGTCCCCTCAGAACCACGTTGGCCTACCTACCGTTTCACAACTTCCCCAAGAGAGGGTGGTTTGGGGCTTTGGCTTGGCCGTGTTCCGTGCAAAATGGGTCACGGTAACTTCGGTCCCAAAGGGGACGCACGAGGCCGCCTCGATTCCAGGGGATTGGCCTGACAGGGTCTCACCCTACTTGAAGGACTTGGGCGTAACCTCGTAATTAGGCAAGGAAAACTAGGTCCTCCAGATTTGAGAGGATAGAGTAAGGGTGCCCAATTTTGTCTGTGGTCCTTTTTAGTAGGGCAAGCCTCTCCCAAAAATGAAAAAGAACGGCTTTTCTTGACAACCAAAAGCCACGAAACGGAGACATGACATGTGCTTTCTCCTGGTTGTGGCAGGCGCCGTTTCCGCTTGGGCTGCTTTCAGGTTACCGAATTGCCCTTTTGCTTTCGCCTCACGACCCATGGTTCCATTCGAATCAATCCAATATGGGTAGCGAGAAACAATCGTCATTTCTCCCCTGGTGGTTGCCCCTCAAAACACACATCAGCACTAACTGGCACTGACCACTGTAATTCACACACCGGAAATATGGAATTGCCAAGGAATCTACGTTATGGGCGGCATCGTTCCTGCTACCCCTGGATGGATGGAGTCGATGGCAAGTCCAGAGACAATGATCTTCCCTCAGATTCCGTGGAGACAGCTGGGAAGTCATGCAGGCATTTAAAAAATGCAATAGAGAATACAACATTCAGCTGCCCAATAATGGGTGGTGGTTTTGAGGTGTTCCGAGTATGGTCAAATCTAAATCCAAACCACAAATCCAAATCACCAATTCAGGGTTACCTGAAAAATACTGGTTACATCTGACAATGACCGTCTCACTTTGCTCCTTAAGGAGATGGCAAGCTTGTTTGCCGCGAAACCAGTCGGAAAGGAAATCAAACAAAGGCAACACGGGCGCGATGCCTGTGCTTGGGATCTTTGGGGAAGCAAGAGACTGCGCCAACCCCAAATCAAGCGTCAAGGCCCCGTTGTTTGAGGAAACATAAGGGGTCAAGCAGCAGGGGTTATCTGTTGACCCATTTTTGCCGGTTTGGTTCTGTTTGGCGTTGTTAACCAAGAAGTTCGCTTGGAAGCGGCTACTTGGGCGTATTCGGCCTCCAAAAAACCCACACCTGGAAGAGCAAAGCAAAGCACACCGCAACTTTCAGATGCTCAAACACACCCCGCGCATCTATGCGAGGGGCGAGCCACCGGCGTCACCTCACAAGGCCACGCGAATTGCTCCGCCTTTCCTCCGCCGGTGCCGGGGAAGCGGCGAGCGTGGAAACTTGCAGCCCGGTTTTCAGATCCCCCGCGAAAAGTCTTGACTTCTGGATGAAATGGGTGTGGGTCATATTTTTCACCGGGATATGGACCGCAGGTTTTGGTCCATGCGTCCATTTACCAGGATTCCATGTTGGGTGCATATTTTTGACCCGCAGCCAAATACGGAAACCCAACCACTAAGCCCTAAAAAGCTAAAAGCCTGAATAAATGGCTATGAACCACCAACCTACGGAAGCCGGTGCATGGGTCATTTTTACAAGGCCCGATTTCTATCTTGAGACAAACCCAAATACTGTGAATGACCACCCGCAAAATGCACCAGTAGGGATGGATGAACCCTACAATACACAACACGCAACTGAGACTGATGCAGGATTTTGTCCATCCACAATGCTCCCCCCCCCCAACGGTTGATTCATTAATGGATTCACAAGCCCTATCCAGGCCACCTAGGTCAGGACTGAACCCTTAGGAGGGAGGGTCGTTTGGGGTGTCTCTTGCGTTGGTTTGTAGGGTTTCTGGTGGGAAGTACCCTCCCCGAACCCAGCGACTTACTTCAGTGAAACGCCCGGTTGGGGGGGCCTTGGTCCCTGGTTTCCTTCTTTCCAACAATGGAAAGTGCTCCTGTACGGTTCCTTAGAGCTCCCTCGAGAGCCTTAAAAATTCCCCCCCCCCCCCCCGGTGGATAGGTTTTGCAGATTCGGCCGCAACTTCTCCGCGCGGCCGCATTCTCCAAGGCGGCCGTACTTGTTCAAGGCAGTGATGCTTACTTTTGTGGGGGGCACCTTCACACTTTGAAAGCCCGCTCCGAACAACATGCTTAGGTCACTGCGTCCCAACCAGCACGATTAGCATGTCTGTTGCTGCATGATGGCGCACGAGTCAATGCCAGGGGGTAAAAGCTGGACTCTTTTCGGTTCTGAGGGCCCAGGGCTGAAATGCAAAAAACAGTAGTTGAACGCCAGTTTTTGGACACTTTTGATGGTGTTGGCGACAATCCTTCAGGCTTGCCGGCAATGACGAGGGACGGCCGTAATTGTCGAGGGAACAGCCGCAATTCTCGAGGGAGGCCGTATTTTTTTGAGGGAACGGACGTACTTTTAGGCGGGACGGCCGTAATTTCTCGAAGAACTTGCCCAGCGTCGTAGTTCGGCAAAACACCCGAAAAAAAATACTTGCAAAGCCCGTAGAAAACCCGTAGAGAACCCGTAATTTTCGTGGGACACCCGAACCAACCAGAAGGATCCCATTTGCCCCCTCGAAGCTCGAAAAAAGGAAAGTGCATGTTAGGCTCTGGGTTGCCGGGGCAGCCCCTATGGGCCCTCAACCAAGGGTGTTGCCTGCTTGTTTGGGCTCTCTGACCCCGTCGGAACGTGTCTGGTGTCAGAAGCTTGCGCGGCATTGTTGAAGCACTAGGGCAAGCGCTTGTTTATAAGTTTGCAATATAGGCAAACGATGGCAAACGGCAAAACGGGGAAAAGAAACAAGTGGGGTCACCCGAACAGTTAAGGCCTTGTTTGTCTCTATGTGGGGTTGTCTGAAACTAGGGGTTTTCTATAATGATTGGTGGTTCTTTTGGTGTCCATTGAACCTTTCCAAAAAGGGTGGCTATTTTGAGAACAGAAGGAGCCGTCACGAGGGCTGCGTGTTTGCAGGCATCCAAAAAGACAAACAAAGAAGACAACCAAACAAAACAAAAAACACATCAAACTTTCAGAAACACCCATGCTTCCTTTTGCTTAAGTCCGCAAGGAAAAAATGAGAACATGTGTCCAGTAGTGATAGATTCCCTTTGAGACCAACAGGGGAAAATAAGGAAATGGGTATGGCCCGGTCAAAGATCAACCACCAGGAGACCGTTACCAGATCTTACAAGGGTTCCATTTTGAGTTCCTATTTTTGACCCACTGCCATATTTTCAGCAAATTTTGAAGCATATCCCCCCCGCCCGCGCCTGGCGCCGCCGGATCCTCCCAAAGGCACCTCGGAACCGGTTGCCGCCATAACTTGGCTCCATATCGGGTCCTGAACGCTTGCCCTTGCATCAGCCTGTAGGGAACCAACTCCCCCTCCAAACTGGAGAACTCAGTTCTCCTCTTGGCCTCGCCCTCTAACCCCAAAAAAACCCAGGACCCCTCCAAAATGGATCTCAACTTCGGTTTTCAACCCCCCCAAGAAAAAAAAAAACAGCACCAACAAGTGGGGGTTGATCAGGTCCGATGAACATGGGATGACCATCAGGGAAACCGTGAAATATGTCCTAGTAAACGGGAAGAGTTACCCATGGTCATTCGGGGGCCAGGAATACTAGTCAACCCCCAAGCGAAAATTGGGTGAAACTCTAAACCAGGTGATTTAGGGTGAATTTCGCATGAGGCCTCCGTTGGAAGACTTTCCTGCTTTTTGGCGGTTCCCACGGCAGAATTGACGCTCCAGGCACTACAATTGAAGGGCTTCGTTCCATTTTCCTATCAACCCCCATGAAAAGAATGGTTGGCCCATAGATGATGCAACTCTTTAGGTAAACAATGTGTTTTTTTACGGGCGTCTTTTTTGAGTTGGTACCCCTTTTTCGGGTGGTTTTAACCAGAACATCAGTCCCAGGGTCTTCAATGCTGGTGGCACGGCACCTCAAAGATTTGATGGCCATCAGCTAGAAAACCCCAAGCCCACCTTTCTCGGTCTAGCAAACCCTCGGAAAAGTCCGCCCCAAACAACCACGTCCGACCAAGAAAAACAAATCACCAGCCTTCCAACGGGAGTTCTCCGAAACAAAGCGGTGACCGCTTTTGGGTGCCCCCATGCGAACCCATCATTTATGCCCCCCGCCCCCGGTGCTGTGAGCCAAAGCAAAGAGTCCCTCAATCAAGTCTTTTGAGTGAAAGGTAAATGCCACTTGAGACCCTTACCCAAGGGCCGCTTTTGGGAGAAGGGAAAGTGTAGTTCGCCTTTCCCTCCATTTCCTCTTTTCGGACATTGAATCGTGGCAACTTCAGTGGAACCCACCCGCAAATTCATCAACGTTCACTTGGTCAAGGCGCAGCGTGCCCGAAGGCAGCAAAGCGCCCAGTATCCGCCCGCACACCGCCAAACCACCTGGTACGGCCCGCGGCAACGTCCGCACCAGCGACGGCTGGAAGGCGTCCTCGCGGTCGAGGGGGGGTGCATGATTGTGCCATTTGGGTGTCTGGAGGTACCTTTCCTCCCAGCATGGCAATTGTGGGAAGACCTGGAAGATCAATTTCCAGACGGACCCCTGTTAGTGAAGGAAAACACGAGTACACCACCGGTTTCAGGGTTTTCCCTGGTTTTCTTTCGGATGCAGTGGATTGCTTCGTGTAGGGCACAAGCCTCTGAGACACAAGAAAGCTCGGGGATATCGACCACAAGTGCAGTGATCCAAGTACAAAGGTCCCAATGTCTCTCCGGCCGCCCGGCAGCCCAAGGGGCAGTCCTATTCTACTGGGATAACACACCTCGCATCGGCGACCTCTGCGCTCACATTTTCCAAAATCTACCAAAATCCCCAGCTTTTCTGGGGAAACCTGGCATGTTTGCATCTTCGAAGGGGCTGCGGTCACACCGAACACTCCTTAAATAAAGCTTCGGGCTTGCCCCCCCCCCCCCCCCTGGGCCCCCCCAGCCAGGTCCTCCACCTGGTAGATGTGGGTCCCGCTCAGCGTGGAGGCAATGAAGTTCATGGCTTTGGCACGACCACGGCTGATTTGCGACTCGCGACTGAGCGAGTGGTTTGGATTTGTTTTGTTGATTTTTTTATTTTATTTTTATTTTTAAGGGTTCAACCGAATCCCGTTAAACTTGGCTGGTGCGACAGGTAGGGAGCTTGCTGGATGGTTGTGCTAAAAGGGACACGCAAATTGCAAACATCTGTTTGTGGGGCCCCCATTATTAAAGGCCCACCCATATTTGCCGCGGTGCAGAGATGTTCGATGAGAATTACGTATGGGCGGTGTTTGATATTCGGCACGAAGGACGTCAGTCAGTTTAAGAAGCTCTTGTAACGCTGATCAAGTAACACTTGTGCTACAGTCCCTATCCCATTCGTGGGCTTAGGATCAGTTTTGCAAATTTGTGGCTTGGTGGGTAGGGAGTTGGTGGAGCTTGGGCTGGTGTGGCTTAGGAACTTGACGACTGTCCCGGTGGTGTCTTCCAATGTCTGAGAGATTGACCGTTCGTCAAGTCTCTCCAGGGGATTCACCATGTCCCAGGATGTACATCGGCTGTGCATGTCCTGCTCGCACATTGGCAATGTCTGAGCGGTCTGAGGGGGTGCATGTGGCTTGACTTTGGCCTGTCCCTCAAATTAACAGCTTGAGCCGAAATTCAGCACGAAGGGATGAAGACCTGCAAAAACACACGGACGGCAGGAAATGTAGGTAATCAAGCAGAAGTTGAGAGCCACCTCATTGTCTCTCTTTGAGCGTACCCCTTTTGGGTTGTCTTCAAGGATGCTCAAAGATAATCCACCCATTTTGCCAGTCCCCCCTGGTTGGACTTGTCTCAAAATAGGAAGACACCAAAACGGGTGGCTTGCCCTTTTTGGTTGCCCGTGAAGCCCCCCCCAAAAAAAAGTAGCACACCGCAATGCATCGTTAAAGACAGGGTTCCTTGGAGGATTTATTCAAAACCACCTGCTTAACAAGGAGATCCTGAAAATCAGCTCTCTCTTAAATTTGTGTTTTCAGGCCCAAGCGTATCTTCTAACGGGCCATTGAATAGGCCGGAGGTTTGAGCATGCCATTCACTTGGGCAGCTCCACCCTTTGATGCATGCCTCTAGCAGCTACTAGCATGTGGTTTCTGTACGCTGGGTTGGTCATCAAGGAGGCTTTGAGCACCTGAGTCTTTGGAGCTGTGGGTCCCTTCAAGACAAAACATCGAGCCAGCAACCTCGTCGTCTCTGAGCAAGCCCTGAGGCTTCCTGAGTGGATCGGCGACCACAAAGGCCAAAGTGGTCGGTTTCCACTAAAGTGACCCAAACCCCAAAAGGTTCAATGTCCAGGAACGTCTGGGTGTGAGGATGTCGAATAAAATCTACACCAAGACCTCATTCGGCGTCGGATCCGCCTGATCTTCGACATGTCCCCGCGGCACACCAGCACGGGGCGCGGCTGTGCCTTTGGCACCGGCCTGACCGACGGCATATGGCTTTGTCTCAAAAGAGGACATGGAAGGCCCCCAAAATGGGCAGTGTCCTTTTGGTTTCCCTTTCAACCCGAAAAGTGGTGCCCTCAAATTCCGACAGCCCTCTATCCGTGCAGCTTCCCCAAGTGAGTCGATCTGATTCACAGATTCATTTCCCAATCACAATTTCACGGGTGCATGTCGCAGGTTAATTGTATGAGCTCCACACCTCCAACTCAGAGATATGCTCAGCACTCACCCTCAAGAAACCTCAATTTCCAGGCTCACTCCACACATTTTCATCAATGCAGTTCATGCAGCTCATGATGAAATGCTCTTGAAATTCGGACCCTAGAAGTGGGACCGGTCGATTTCTTTTTGGTCCGTGGAATAAAAACGCAACCCCCCAAAGACTCCTTCGCGAGTGGGTTTGGGAAGGTCTTTTTGCAGGGTTTGTGGTGAAGGCTGCGTTCAATTAATGGGAACCCCGGATTAACAAACCCCTGGTTGATTTTGATGGCGGGGTGTCCAAATTCCTTTTATCATCACTTTTGGAGAGAACACCCCTGCATGAATAGGACGGATCTATGAATCTCGGGCCAACATTACCCTCCGCTACTCCTTTTGCCCTCTCGGAATTTAAGGCCATAGCAAGGAATCCCAGGACCTGCCACAACAGGCCAACCTTGGTGATATCTAATCCCTCAGTCCATCCCCCACCCACCCACACCCATCTATGTCTGCCATGTCCAGCCCACGTCATCCCCCCTACCATAAGGGTGAGGGGGGTGGTGCGTCCCCAATTCCAGTGATCTAGTCTTCCCCTAAAGGAAATGGAACCATAAACGGAGGTCTCCTTGGGTCACCCCCCTCCCCAAATTCATTTCACCGGGTGGGGATCCCACGTCGACTCGCCGACTCGCCTCGTGGGGTTGGTCCTCACATACGCCTCTGAGGCGCTCCGCCGCAGCGTCAGGCCCTCCCAACACGCCCAACGAAAACGACGCCGGAGACAGGGAGGGCTGGAAAGGAATCCACCGGTCGGATTCCCAAACGGAAAACACCGCAACAGTTCGATGAATGGATGGATGGATGGACGGACGGACGGACGGATGGATGGATGGATGGATGCATGAATGAAATGAATGAAATGAATGAAATGAAATGAAATGAAATGAAATGAAATGAAATGAAATGAAATGAAATGAAATGAAATGAAATGAAATGAAATGAAATGAAATGAAATGAAATGAAATGAAATGAAATGAAATGAAATGAAATGAAATGAAATGAAATGAAATGAAATGAAATGAAATGAAATGAAATGAAATGAAATGAAATGAAATGAAATGAAATGAAATGAAATGAAATGAAATGAAATGAAATGAAATGAAATGAAATGAAATGAAATGAAATGAAATGAAATGAAATGAAATGAAATGAAATGAAATGAAATGAAATGAAATGAAATGAAATGAAATGAAATGAAATGAAATGAAATGAAATGAAATGAAATGAAATGAAATGAAATGAAATGAAATGAAATGAAATGAATGGAATGAATGAATGAATGAATGAATGAATGAATGAATGAATGAATGAATGAATGAATGAATGAAGAATGAAGGAATGAAGGAATGAAGGAATGAAGGAATGAATGAATGAATGAATGAATGAAAGAATGAATGAATGAATTAACCAATGAACCAATGAACCAATGAATCAATGAATCAATGAATCAATGGATCAATGAATCAAACAATGAATGAAACAATGAATCAATGAATCAATGAATCAATGAATCAATGAATCAATGAATCAATGAATCAATGAATCAATGAATCAATGAATCAATGAATCAATGAATCAATGAATCAATGAATGAAAGAATCAATGAATCAATGAATCAATGAATCAACGAATCAACGAATCAACGAATCAACGAATCAATGATCCCATGAATCAATGAATCAATGAATCAATGAAGCAATCAATCAATGAATCAATGAATCAATGAATCAATGAGCCAATGAGTCAATGAATCAATGAATCAATGAATCAATGAATCAATGAATCAATGAATCAATGAATCAGTGAATCAATGAATCAATGAATGAATCTATGAATCTATGAATCTATGAATCAATGAATCAATCAATCAATGAATCAATGAATCAAATCAATGAATCAATGAATCAATGAATCAATGAATCAATGAATCAATGAATCAATGAATCAATGAATCAATGAAATGAATCAATGAATCAATGAATCAACGAACCGACGATCCAACGAACCAACGAACCAACGAACCAACGAACCAACGAACCAATGAACCAATGAACCAATGAACCAATGAACCAATGAACCAATGAACCAATGAACCAATGAACCAATGAACCAATGAACCAATGAACCAATGAACCAATGAACCAATGAACCAATGAATGAATGAATGAATGAAATGAATGAAATGAATGAAACGAATGAAACGAATGAAACGAATGAAACGAATGAATGAATGAATGAATGAATGAATGAATGAATGAATGAATGAATGAATGAATGAATGAATGAATGAATGAATGAATGAATGAATGAATGAATGAATGAATGAATGAATGAATGCATGAATTAATCAATGAACCAATGAACCAATGAACCAATGAACCAATGAACCAATGAATCAATGAATCAATGAATCAATGAATCAATGGATCAATGAATCAATGAATGAATGAATCAATCAATCAATGAATCAATGAATCAATGAATCAATGAATCAATATATCCATGAATCCATGAATCAATGAATGAACTAATGAATGAATCACAGAATGAATGAACAAACGAACGAACGAATCAAGGAATCAAGGAATCAATGAATCAATGAATCAATATATCCATGAATCCATGAATCAATGAATGAACTAATGAATGAATCACAGAATGAATGAACGAACGAACGAACGAATCAAGGAATCCAGGAATCAATGAATCAATGAATGAACTGAATGAAATGTGTGAAATGAAATGAAATGAAATGAGATGAGATGAAATGAAATGAAATGATATGATATGAAATGATGTGAAATAAAATCAAATGAAGTGGAATGGAATGGAATGGAATCGAATGGAATTGCATGAATGAATGCATGAATTCATAGGTTTCCGTTGGATTCCCGAAAGGAAACCACCGGAGACACCAGTTGCATGGCTTGCCTCAGGGGTCGTTCCCTCAAAAAGCCACCGGCTGTGGATGTCCAACCCACTCCGTTGAGGGGGAATGACGTCACAAATGGGACCCGGGCCCCGAAAGAACACGGAGAAGTTTGTGGGTGGAACCTACTTTCTGTGATAACTGTGGATGGAGAAGTGTCGAACTGTGGATGGAGAAGTTTCGAACTGTGGATGGAGAAGTTTGTGGTGGAGAAGTTTGTGGATAACTGTGGATGGATTCGAAGTCCGCGAGTCTCACCACCGAAATGACACCATGGGATGGAAACCAGAACGTTTGGAATTTACGCTGGGGAATCGAACCATTCCAGGGTGTCTGAATGGTGATGCAGGATTCGTCCGTCCACGGGAAACTTTGGAACATTTGAGTTATGCGGATGCCAAGAAAGTAAGACAATACGTCTGGTGAACAAGCTCTCGTTTGGCTTGTACGTGGGGTAAGTCCCGCAGAATGGGACTTATTTAGGGACGTGTTCAGCACTGAAGTGGTCATGCAACCCCCCGGGCGTAAGCAAAAATAATATCCATGAATTCTACCGAGAATTCAAGATTCCATGGATCGGGGTGAATTATAATATTTCACCAACCTGAAATAAGGTGGTTGCGGGGCTATTCCCCACACAAACCACCATTTGGGGTGAATTCGGTCGTGTGAGGTCGTTGTGATTCACCCAGATGGATCCCTTGCAAAAAGGTTGGAAAGTGTCCCAAGCTTCCCAGAGGGCACTGTTCCTCGGCCTTCCGGGAAAAAAAGCTTGCTGCTTCAATAGACAGGGATTGAGTAGGAGTGACTTTTGCAAAAATCCATCCCCTCAACGGGTCCCCTTTCCCTTCAGCCCCTTCAGCCCCTAAAGTCCCACTGATCAAAGCAAACGGCGACTCGCCTCGACCGCTTCGACTCGCATCGATCGCTTCGACTCGGATCGATCGCGTCTCCTCGAGGCTCTTGCCGCTGTCCTCGAGGGACTGCAGCTCTGCGCCGATCCTGGCGAGGTTCTTGGAGAGCTTCCCATCCAAGAGACAAATGCCTGGGGTTGTGAGGTAAATTCCCGGAGGCAGAAACCCCGGGTTAGGGTTTAGGGGGGGATCCCTGGGTCTAGTTTGACAATATCACTTAAGGAGGAGAAGACCCCCCCGTTTATTAAAAGGGGAGAACCCCGGGACTAGCAGGAATATATCACTTTTGGAGGAGAAGTATTGATAAACGGGAGTGATGGATAGAGCTTCAACATCAAAGGGAAGCCAAACGGACACTTACCATTTTGGCACCAAGAGCAATGCCGACATGTTGGGCGGTGCCCCTGTTTCACATTGGTCTCACTGGGTTTCTGGTCCCCACCCCTTATAGTTTCTCGGCTGAGGTGGCTTCAGGTCCAAGAATTGGCCCCGCGCGGTTTTCCGTTCGAACTGTCCACAAGAATTCTGGAGCCATGCCATTGCCATTGATTTCCCAAGAGGTAAATCACCCACGTAATCCTTCCGGCTTGCAATGGACTCTCTGACTCCTTCTCCGTCGGAAACTCGCTTCGCTTCAAACGTCCCCGCGGGTCCGGCGCCTCTTCTGGTGCTGCCAGTCGCAAATCCCGGCCCGGGACAGGCCTCGAAGCTCCGAAACAGCCAGAAGGCGTGGGATGGAAAACATTCCGGATTCGTTTCGGCCTCGCAAATAAGGCTCAGGGAACCCAACAAGCAGAGACTGGGGGGAAAAAAAACTCCGGGTGAATAGGGCGCATGGGAAAACCTCGCCATGGGAAGCTCACCTTTAAGAACATGGGCAACCTTGACGTTTTACGCCTCTCAGGGCAAATCTGGGTGTGGGTCAAACATAGGTACCCAAAATGGAACCCTGGCAAGTGGAAAAACAAAAACCTGCGGTCCCCTGGTGATTGCATTTTCACCCATACCCATAAAGGAAACCCGGTAGATTGCCGCAATCGTCTTTTGGCTGTTGGGTGCATGTGCAACACTTTGAGCAAACTGCGTAGCTGTTGCCCACACCTTCGGTGGACTTCTATGGTAGAAACAAAGGACAATTTGTTTTTGGTAGTGGGACCCCCCGGAAATAAACCCTGGTTGATGATAGGCGGTGTCCCCCTTTAGTGAGGATTCATGCCTTTGGGTGGCTCCCCCGGATTAAAAGGACATGTGTATCAATGCAAGGGTCAACATCAGCTGTTTTTAAAGAACCCTCTCCGAAAAAAGAAAGCCGTGCTGCTCCACCACAAAATAGCGACTACGCAAGGCGTACCCGCATTTTCCCTCAAAATTCCCAGGGGTCCGCTGGGTTCGTGATTTGTGCCAAACCCTGAAACTCTTGGCTTCCCAAGTGGTTCTCAAAAAAGCATGTCAAAAGCCACCCCAAGTTGGTGTGAACGATTTCCACTCTTTGAAGCTGGTGAGCTTCCTTTGGTGAGGGTTGTGAAATAATGCGGAAACCATGTAACCAGGGTTCCTGACCTCTCCAGCGAGGTTGTGCTTCCAGTGTTTTCCATCTGGGCAAATGCATCGGGTTCAAACATCAGACAAGCAGATTGTCTACTTTATTGGGATTTGGCAAACAGCTTGGTTATTTTGCCCTCTCAGATGGCAGGCGAGGGGTCACACCGTGATTGTGGAGAATGGATAATCCCCAAAGTGATAAGTCAGTCATGTCCTCCAGGGGCTCCAATTTGGAGACGACGCCCCACTCAAGACGACGCCCCACTCAACGTGGCGCTTCGGTGCTTCGGTGCTTCGGTCTCAGTCGCCTTTGGAGAGGAAGCCCTGGCTCTTCAGCGCTTGCAGCGCCTGCAGCGACAAGTTCCGCTCAGCCGTGGCAGCATACTGCGGCCTCGGCGGGAGACGGTTGGGTCCATCTCAACGGGACCCATTGGCCCTGTGCCCCGTCATTTGGGCTGGTTGCAAAAAGGAGGTGCTCGCGAAAAACTCGGGTGGCGTCTCCATGCCAAATTTCACTGGGTGGCTGGGTTGCTGGCGTCGCCAGGGTTTCACATTTGGGGTCACAGGGTGAATTTGGCCCAACAATCGGGAGTCACTTCTCTTTGCTTTTTTACAACAAAAAAAAAGATACCTTTGAGGATCGGTTGGCTTTGTCAACCCAAAATGGGGTGGGCAAGGTTGGGGGCTTGGTGTTTGAGTCTGTTCCCTCAAATCCAAGTTCACATTGAAATGGGCTTGCCTGACTAAAAGGTCTCTAAATGGAAACTCAAGACCAGGTGGTTTCCCACTGGCTTCCGAAGCAACGGCGCCATCTCAGAAAGTGAAGGCCAGACCTTGGGAACCCTTTTACCCAACGCCTGCGGTCCACAGTGAATGGCTTTTGTCGGGGTGCGATTCGCTATCCAAAAGAGGAAAAAACTGCCTGCTATAGTGGCAACTGGGATTCCACTTTGGAGACTGCAGAAAAGATGGGTGTTCCCTTGCGTATTTAAAGGGAGAAAGATCTACTTGGCCACGAAGTTTAATAGGGAACCAACTCAAAAGTGATTGGTGGACATGCATCCCCACCGAATGTTGATGTCCACCACAGGGTCCCTTGCTAAATTTATCGCAATTTTTACCAAAATTCCAGGGGTACCTTCCCCATTCTTTCCAGGGATCCGGATCTTTTCAGGAAACCATCAAAATCCCAGGTTGGAAACGGATCCGGTTTTTGAAAAGAACCATGGTTGAAAAGAATGGACAAGGAATCAACCCCTAGAACGGTGAACCTCCTATTCGCTGGTAGTTGTTTGGAGGGAAACCAAAAGGAAACGATCTGTTTGATTCAAAAGAACCAGATGGTTGAATCAACTCGAAAAAATTGGCCACCACTTCGGCAGACCCAAGGCGCAGTCCGCAGAGCTCCGCCACAAAGGCCGCGGCTTGCTCCCCCTGCGCGCCCTCCATGGCGCGCGTTGCTTTGGGAACGGAGCGCCGAGCGCCGAGCCGCGCACTCTGAGCCGTCTGTTGACGCTGGGCGACGTCGAGAGGAGAGCCGAGCATGCCGGTCTTTATGTTGATTTTGGGGGAGTCAGGGTGGAGTTGTCCAGACTCACGTTCATGGTTGCGAAATCCATTTCGCCCCACCTAAGAAAGCCTGGAACGTTGATTATATATATATATATACCAAGAAACACGGCTTCCAATTTCAAACTGGTGCAGGAGTTCGTCCATCCACAGTAAGTCACTATCCCCACTTGCGAAAGGTAGCCACGGAATGCTCAGTTGTGGAATCCCCAAGGGGGGTAGGTACAAGGGGGGTGGGTACCTGAGGATTCCTCAGGGTTCCCTACATTTCCTTGGGGCTCCTTCACAAGCCTTAAAGAGCCCTTTCCCATAGAGAAATTCACGGGACGGGTCACCCCATCCTATGCTCATTCTCCAAAACCGTGGAGCGTCTGGTTCACTCCTTGAATCCACCCCAGAGCCTATCTGGGCAGAGAGCCCGTAGCTTGTGAAGCAGAAAGTCCCCGGTGCCAAAGCCCTTGGACATATCTCAATCGTTTTTCCACCTTGTGGCGCCCAAATCGAAAAGAGATGGCAGGAAAACGCCATCCGAAAAATTCGAATCTAACTGTCAGATTGGACATATCTCAATCGTTTTTTCCACCTTGTGGCTTCCCTTAGGGGGGGCCCAAATCGAAAAGAGATGGCAAGAAAACCCCATCCGGAAAAAAAAAAAAAAAAAAAAAAACGAATCTAACCGTCAGAAGGGGGTTCAAGGTCGACCGTTCTAGCAACAAATAACTTGGCTACCTTTAGAGGTGAATATGAAGCATTGCGGCCTCAAGAAATGAGGGAATGACAGGCACATGGAATGCTGGAACTTCCATGAAGAAAGGACGGAGCACCTGCGGAAAGACCAACTCGCTGGCGGTTTCCTAGAACCGGAACTGCGCCACTTTGGTCGCCACCCACTGCCGCAAAACACATGCAAGGCTCGGCGCCCTTTCCGGGGGAACGGTTTTAAAGGGAAACGCAACGGAAACCACTTGTTTGGGGTCCCTCAAAGCAAACTGACCCCAACAAACAAGGGCTTTCAACTGCTTCGCTTGCAACCCATTGGCTATGTCTGATCAAGCCATAACCTCCAAACAGGATGTGACACTTGGGGCACAGCCCTTTTGCTATGGCTCTGAATCACTTACTGCAAAGCTAGCTTGCAAAACTAGCTTAAACAAACAATTGCTTTGGTCCCCTCAGGGAAAGCAAAAAGAGGTTGTTCTAGCACTAGTGGTTCAAGTCCATATATGGCTTCATTCCCACTATGCGCTGAATACTAATCCGAAAAATCCCATCGTATCACAGTGCCCGAGCTCGACCTGCATGCAGGTGAGCTTGCTCCCACAATCAGTGCAGACGATTTATGCACAAGAAGCCGCATTACCAATACTATATTTCTGGGTCTAAGGGTTTCCCGGTGAAAAACCTGGTCGCTCATGGGTTCAGGCACCATACCACACAAAGACCCTTTCGTTGCAATAGATGCCCCTCGGAACCCATCTATTTCCAACCAAACCACCTAAAAAGAGACACCTACGTGCAAGAGTTTGATTCCCAGATCTTTTGGGGGGGCTCGCTACTCGATCCCCACGACAACGTGCAGCGGAAAGCGCCCGCTCCCGGCGAGCATGGCGCAGTTCAGCGCGGTCACCACGAACTTCCTGGGCTCGGAGCAGGTTCCATCCCTCACTCTCGGCCCCAGATCCTGACCGATTTCCTGAGTCGTGGAAGCGTGGTTTGGCCACCCTCCCTCCACTGAAAGCGGGCAAGAGAGCTTTGGAAGACTACTTTCCTTTTGGGGAGGCCCCTCAACCACTGCCATGATTGTTGGAAAGAAGGCAACTGCCATGAGCTTCAATTTGCCAGAAGTCCGAACTGTTCATCTACCGCCAAAATGATGATCCCAGAATGTTTAGAGTTCAGGAACTCAGGGAGCGAGTATCATTCTCCCAACGACCAAATCCATGCGGCTCCGTCCCTGGTGGTTTTCGTTCTTTCAGGGCTCCTTGAGGTCATCCAAAGTGCATGTTGTTTGATTGTCGCGCAGGTCTGCGTCTATCTGTCCCCTTCAGACAAGCCCAGCTTGCGGGATAACAATTTGTGAAACCCTCCAAACCTTCTTTTCTCAACACTTCCCTGTTGTTTTGTGTTTTTGCAGGTTCCACGAGACTCGCCTTAGCTTTGCCCAGCGGGAAGCATAGGCAGCCCTTTGCCCGCCAGGCCCCTTTAAAAGGGCTGAATGTAGTTTGGCCAGCCTAGACGGGTCTACAGATCAACTAGAGAGAACCCACAAAGAACAAACACAAACAATCTGGAAAGCCATTTGCGATGGCATGAGCCCATAAATACATAGCTGGGGTTCAATCTCAAAGCTTGCTTGCCATCCCTCACAAGAACGTTGCAGGTTAGGGGGTGGTTTCACAAGAACCGCTTCAAATCCCACCGATCCAGACAGTTAACTCGCCGGACAACTCCCCGAAACCACCAATCTCGGGGCCTGGTGAGTTACGGTCTTGGGATGAAACGTAGCATCACAATACGCCACATTGGCGGTTTGGACCGCCAGCGGTGCAGAACCATCTGGGCCACTTAGACCACCAAGAGTTTGAACTTGTTTGCTGCTACCCCTGCGTTGAACACAAGACCAAAAGGAAAAAACCACCGTTGTGGCGATTCCGCTGAAACAAACCACGCCCATGTCAGGCCAAAGGCCCAAAGAAAAATTCAAGCTAAGCCCGGCACGGCCTGCGAGAATGTCCCAACCAAAAACCAAGTTGAACACGATACCCAGCCATGAAAAATAGGCATCTGGCAGCGAAACATGGAAGCGCATCCTCAAATTCATGAAGCCAACAACAACAGCCAAAGTTCAGAGGTGGGACATGGGTCTGAACTTTCTGATTTTCATTTTTCACCCTCTGACCTTGGGTTCTCGTTTAGTTGGCTGACCGCGAGGGAGCAAGGATCGGCGGAGTACCGGGCGGAAGCTTTCTGAGAGTCCAGTAAATTGTGTAAACGCCGCTGGCGGCAAAACGGGTTGAGGTGACAGTGGGCGCCGGGTTCCGTGCCGGTGGGATTTGGTCCGCCGAGGCGTACCGAGACAAAATGGTTGGTTTTCTTCTTGGTTGCTGGCAAGAGACCCCACACATATTGGGAAAAGCATGGAATAGAAGAATGAATGGTATGATGGCATCTTACAACAGGTGATGCCTCTTCAAGTGTCTTTGGATTTTTATAGGATCTCTGTCCAAGATCTCCTGAAGGATCTCTTGACAGGATCTGCGCGCACGATCTCTGAGCAGGTCGCTTGGCAGGAGCTTCTGGCAAGATTTGTGCGCAGAATCCTTGAGAGGGCACGCGCGAGACCTCTTGAGAGGATCTTCCATACGAAGGACCAGCGCGAAATGTCGATGCGAGGATTTTCACAAAATGTTCGCAGGATCTTTGGCAAGATTTGCGTATATACAAGTATATACAAGTTCTCTGCTCACGCTGTGTAGAGCATCCTCTACGAGATCACGTGGAGGGAAATCTGCCTAGGTCCTGCGCAAGAGCTCTTTGAAGGTCCCCTATGAAGAACCCACGCAAGATATCTTTGGGAGGCTTTCTACAGGATATCTGCGCAAGATCTCTTGATAGGATCTCTGTGCGCAGGACTGATGCGAGGGTCCTCTATACATTAAATTGTTCTGTCAGGATCTACCGGATCTCTTGCAAGTGTATCTTTGCAGGTCCTGCACTTCGATGCTTGTACTTTGCACCGCGCCACAGCGAGAGCAATGCGAGCCAGCAAAAGTCCGCACAAGATTCACTGCGATCACAACGCGCGCTGCGCCACAGCCAGAATGATCCGACCCAAAGTCCGCGGCTTCACTTTTCTGGGTTGACGTTGGAAGGGGAGCAAACATGGAAATTTTAGCAGTTAAGTGGCTGGACTTCAACCACTAAACCACAATAAGCAAACATGTCAAGCGCTTCGCAACAACCACCATGTGTTGATCTTCAAATTCGCACCGCGCCACAGGGAGAGCGATCCGCAGCCCAAGACCTCCGAGGGTTCCCCGTGAACCGTTTTCGGAATTGGCGGTATGGCACCACAGCGAGAGCACACCCTCGAAAGACACCAAACCCAGCCCGCCACGCTGCGGGAGTCTGCGCAGTCGAAATGAATTTTGATATTTTACAAAGTTGCGATTGTACATAAATAAATTCAATAGCTACTGACATTATTCTGATACGTATATATCGGGGGGAGGGTTGATCAAAAGCTTCGTTATACATGGGGTGACCATGAGGGAAACCACCAACAAAGATGGCTTTCACCACTACAAGGGACAGTTACCTATTGATCATTTTAGGGCCAGGAAATATTAATCAACCCCTACATATATATATATATACACATACTATACATATGTGTGTGTATAGATATGTGTGTGTGTGTGTGTTACTACTACAAAGCCGACCTACTCAACGGCCAATACGTGTGGTGTGCGCTGCCAACATGAAAACTGTCTGGCCCTTGTGTTCAGCTCTAACACTCTGGGCATAGCTCCCTCCCCCTTTTCGTCGTGCGATTTTTCCAAGACCAGATCAAGAGCATCGCGGACGCCTTAGCGATGCACGCCTCGGCAACGCAACCCTCTTCCCCGGTAGCATGTCTTGAAGCCGGCAACGTAGGTGCTCTATCGGCTTTGATTTGGACCCGGAGCCGCTCTGAGCGAAGACTTCAGGGTGCTCCGGGCAGACAAAGAATTCACACCTCAAAAACTGCACAGTCGGTGCGAGCTTCTGGGATAGCATTAAAACTGTGACGTGCATTGAAACTCTGACCTGTGCTCGAGCGAGCTCTTCATGACAAAACAAGTATCTCCTCAACCGCAGGGCTTCTACTGTATGCACTGTATACCATCCCATCCACAAAAGACTCGCTTTGGCAGCTCAAATCTGCTGCGAGTTGGTGGGATACGGTGGCAGGTTTCTACTTGGGCACACCGTTTGCCGTTTGCTATTCGAACATTTGAGCCAGTGTGAATGTCCATTGCAATCTGAAAAAAATATTGACTGTTACTCTAGATCTTTCCGAAACCGGACCTCTCAAACATTCGGGCGCTTTGGATCTCACAACGACACTACCGCGTTCTGGCTCTGCTTTGAGCTGATGAGCAGGCAAGGTTTCGCCAAGGGGACGTCCGGCTCAGCCCGTGAGCTCATGAGCAGGCAAGGCTGCGCGAAGGGGACGTCCGGCCCGGTCTGCGAGCTGAGACAAGGTTTGGAGGGCATCTTTGGCTTCCGCAGCATTTCGAGGCGCAAGTTCGAGATGTACAACTCAAAGTCCTCAGAGCGCTGCTCCACCACTGCCAGGAAGCGCTTCAGCCTCTCACCGTGCCGAGCCGACGCCGGGTTTTCATGCGAGGCAGAGCGCTCGTCGCTGCTGGAATTCGAGACCTGCCGCACGGAGATTCCAGCAGTGCCGCTGCCATCCTTCAAGGCCTGGTACACGTTCTTGGGAAGAGGCATGGCGCGTGACTCGTGGCTCCTCCGAGTGGCAGGCGTGCTGGGAGCCAAAAAAACTCGGACAGGATACAAGGTGCCGGCGGCAAGAGTCATTCGCAAGCAAGGACAAGCTCGAGCACAAGCACCCTCATGAATTCATGACAAGCGCAATGAGTTGCGAAGGTTGATGCGAACGCCCCCACTTCAGACTCGCGCGCCACCACCGAAACCGGGTTGAAAATCCTCCGACACACACCACAGCATATGAATCATACGAGGGAGAAACGGAGAACCACAAACTGCAGACAGATCCAAGTGGCTAAGCGCTTCATAAGTCCAGACGTCATGCAACAGTGGCTCATGTCTGAAAACTGGTAACTGTTGGCTCCGAACATTTCTGGATATGGGGGAGTTGTTTTTGTCGAGCCTCTGCTCAAGCGGCCCCCGTTGTTCAGCCTTTGGAAGGGAGTGCTTCAAAGCTTCAAAGACCATTTCCTGGGATGGGAACTTATGGAGAGGAAGCCATGCCAAGATCAACTGCGCACAGTTTTTCCTGATATGGGCGTGTTTACAATAGGGGACCTTCAAAAACAAGTGCCCTGCAAACCAAAACCAAAAAAAAGGACGCGCGGCCCCTCGAGCTCCTTGGCTCCTTATCCCAGACATGGCTGTCAAAGGGTCCTCTCTCCAAGCGATTCGTCTGGAAATGAGCATGAGGCCAGGCACCCCCAACTTCACAGCCCGGAAACCCCGAGCAAACCCGCTCAAAGAACCCCTCTGGGCCCCGAAAAAGAAAGCAGAGCTTCTATTGCCTCCCCGTTCTTTCCAGGGCTCCTTCTTTCTAGAAAACCTCCGCACAGGGAAACGGATCCGGTTTCTTAAAAGAACGACGGTTGAAAAGGATGATTATCACCCCTTGGCCGGACCGTGGCACTGTGGCACTCTGTGGCTCTGCTCTCTCGGGGTTTCCGGAGCCAGTGGCGGATGTTGTGGCTCCCGGGCAGCCAGACTTCGGAACTTTGGGACTTGGCTCACGATAGTTGATGGGCTTCGGTTTGCTGGTCCTTCAAAAACCGAAGCCAAGCCAACACGAGAGAAGACACACCCATTTGGTAGGTTCCCCCTGTTTCCCGCTTTGGTGGTTGTCGAGCTTGATTGTCCACATCCGGAAAAACAAGAACGGAAGCAAACAACAGGCAACGGATACGTTCTTGTGTTTACAAATGATGATGATAATAATAATAATGCTAATAATAATAATAATGATAACTGTAATACTACTAATAATGATAATACTACTAACAAATAAGCAGAATAATTATTAATAACACGACTAATAATACTAAGTTAAACTACCGGAGACCTGTGCCAAGCTTCTTCAGGTCCACCGGGTCTAAGCCCACCAACTCCGCCGCCATGGTGATCGCCGCCGCCATGGCCAACGAAAAGCCCCCCCGCGGTTCGAACGACGAACTCCACGCGCCGAAGCGCGAGGTGAGAAACAGATCAAGGTGGATCTAAAAAAGCTCAACAGAAACTGGGCTGCCCTCAGATGACCCCGAAAACATAAACTTGAGGTCGAACATTTGGATCTAAAGACCAGTTTGACCTCCGCAACTCGAATGTGTCCAAAAGTACCTAAGGCTACTGTTCGATGCTCTCGGGCTTCAGAGGTTTGAATTCAGACCCTTCAAGAGGCTTGGGCTGGCACTGCTGTTGCGATGACCCACCAAGTGAAGGAAGAGGGTTTCTCTGGTTGGATCGTCCTGATTCTAGTGGGTTTCATATTGGCAGTGAGGGAATGTCGGACTGAACTCGCAGTTTGGCCTAGCTCTAACTCATCTTGAGCCACGCATGTTGAAAGCAAAAAACTGGTTGCCATCTCTAAGCGGATCCTCAATCTTGTTAAACTCCTCTTGACTCCCGAGAGCCAAGAAAAACACGGGCAAGTCCCTGGAATCGCAAGCAAAGTTGACGACAACACCTGACTGTTGCAGTTTTCCTTTCAAACCAACGGGGGAAAGAAAACAAATATGTGTCAAAATAGGGACTTGGACCCAAATAGTTGCAGAGTTCCTTTGGCCTCCCTTTAACTACGGCTCAAACTGCAGCGCAAAATGGGGACTGGCAGGTCAAACTTGTCACTTCCCAACTTTTGGTATGTTAGCAAAACAAGCTTGCTTGCTTCCCTCGCCCAAGGCTCTGAGAGGCAAAACCAAGAAACGATCAAACAACTATACATAAACCAAGAACATGGAAGAAACCTTGGAGTGGTCAAACAGAAACCTCGGAGTTGTCAAAAAAAAAAAAAAACGGGACCGATCCGCTCGTTGGCGAGAGCAAACGAAAGAAACCGAAGACCTACAAATCACCTGCCAGACCTTCAGAAACGGGCAAGAAAAAGGGCCTGTAGCCTGAGCTGACTAGTGGCTCTACTGGCATGATTCCAAATATGAACAGGGTTGTAGGAAATAAAATCCACGAATCTGTGATACAACAAAAAGGGCCTAACCCCAAAGACTAACCCCCCCATATAAAGGGGGAGATTCCCTTGTGTCGCAGAAGTGGGGATAAACCCCGAGAGATCCCACAACCCTGAATATGAATATATCGACTTTACTACTATAGAGCCCATGAACGCTAGTTGGGCGGTGCTGAAATGCAAACTGCACATCTCCACGACATGGGTGCTATGTCGATGTGGATCCAAAGGACCCGCAGAAGCTACCACGATAAAGTTGAGGCTCCAAAGCAGCCAAAGACTTCACACCTCCAAAGCTGCACGGCCCGTGCGAGATTCTGGGACAGCATTGAAGCACTGACGTCATTAAAACTCTGACCTGTGCGCAAGCTTTTCATGCCACAACAAATATCCCTTCGGCAGCTACATTTCTTCACTTGCAGCCTCTGCTTCTGCAAACACACAGACACACAGACACACAGACACACAGACACACAGACACACAGACACACACACACACACACAGTCACACACACACATATCCCGTCCAAAAAAGGCCTTGCGTGTCGATGACTGGGAACTTTTGCCACTCCCACATGTCAGCCAGTGTCAGTCTTCATCGTAACCCCATGATAATTGGATTGCTGATTGTCCACAGTGACTACGGGCTCTAGAGCCAGAGAATAGAAATGGCCAAACAGGGGGTTTGGGCAAACTGCAAATCTCCACTTTCTGTTCTGCTCTAGCAACACTGTACAATGGATCAAGAGGATTGCGGATGCCTTGGCGATGGACACCTTGGCAACGCCACCCTGGCATGCTTTGAAGCTGGTGCACGGCATACGTGCTATGTCGATTTGGATCCAATGGACCCGCAGCTATCAAGACAAAGTTGAGGCTCCAAGCAGCCGAAACATTCCCACCTCCAAAGCTGCACGGCCCATGCGAGCTTCTGGGATAGCATTGAAGCTGTCACGTCATCAAAACTCTGACCTGTGCGCGAGCTTTTCGTGCCAAAACAAATATCGCTTCGGCAGCTACTTTCTTCAGTCACACACATGCAATGTGCCATCCCATCCGAACAAGGCTCGATTCTTGCAGCTTAGACCATCGACAGTTTGCCGTGCGTGTCGATGACCGGGCACTGTTGCCACTCCCACATGTCAGCCAGTGTCAATCCTCATTGTAACCCCATGATAATTGGGTTGCTGATTGTCCACAGTGAAAACTGGCTCTAGGGCCAGATGGGCAAACTGCAAATCTCAACTTTCTGTTCTGCTCTAGCAACACTGTACAACGAATCAAGAAGATTGCGGATGCCTTGGCGATGGACGCCTTGGCAACGCCACCCTGGCATGCTTTGAAGCTGGTGCACGACATAGGTGCTATGTCGATTTGGATCCAAAGGACCCGCAGAAGCTATCAAGCTGCACCGCCCGGGCTTCTGGGATAGCATTGAAGCTGCCACGTCATCAAAACTCTGACCTGTGCGTGAGCTTTCGTGCCAAAACAAATATCGCTTCGGCGGCTACTTTCTTTCGTCACACGTGCAATGTGCTATCCCATCCAAACCATCGACAGTTTGCCTTGCCTGTCGATGACCGGGCACTGTTGCCACTCCTTCATGTCAGCCAGTGTCAATCTTCATTGCAACCCCATGATAAGTGGGTTGCTGATTGTCCACAGTGACAACTGGTTATAGAGTCAGATATTAGAAATGGCCAACAAAGGTTTTGGGCAAACTGCAAATCTCCACCTTCTCTAGCAACACTGTACAACGGATCAAGAGGATTGCGGATGCTGTGGCGATGGACGCCTTGGCAACACCAGCCTCTTCCTCGCATATGGCATGCATCGAAGCTGGTGCATGACATAGGTGCTATGTCGATTTGGATCCAAAGGACCCGCAGAAGCTACCACAACTTTTTGAGGCTCCAAACAGCCGAAGAGTTCACAGAGTCAGTCTCGAAGACTTGAGCCAGTGTCAATGTTCATTGTAACCTGGGAATCAGAGGACCCGGCGCAGTGCTCATCCTATGACGACCAATATTTGACCGTGGCTCAAAATCTTCCCAAACCACAGCATTCGTGCGGGTTGGTCCCGACTCACAACGACACAACGGTTCTCTGGCCCGGCCCGTTTGAAGTGACGAGGCAAGGCTTAGCCGTTTTTTCCGACTCAGCGCTCTGGGAGCTGAGGCCAGACGTAGCCAAGGGCTGCATTTCCAGGCGCAAATTCGAGATGAGCAGCTCAAACTCCTGAGGGTCCCGCTGCACCGCTGCCAGGAAGCGCTTCAGCCTCTCACAGTGGCGAGCAGAGGCAGGCTTTCCAGTGCCACTGGTCGACTTCAAGGCATAGACATTCTTGGGCAGAGTCATTGGCACGCCGAATCCCCGCGGATCCGTAGCTGGAGCCAAGGACTCTGTGGACAGGATGCAACGTGCCTCTTGGAAATCAGTTCGGGGAGAACTTGTGGCAATTCATGCGCAAGCAAGCAAGTATTCTCTAGCACAAGCACTCCCGTGAAATCATGACAAGCGCTGTGAATTGCCAATGTTGATGTTCTCCTATCCCCAACACACCCGCCTACACTGCCATCTAGCACATCTCTTCCGCCTGGCATATGAATCATAAGAGGGGGAAACAATCATCGCAAACTGCTGCGGACATATCTCGCTGTGCACAGCTCCTGCTTTTCGTTCTCCACTGCCAGCAACTGGCTAAGCTCGAATGAACACATTTGTGTGCATGTGCTTGCTGAATTTGCTATTTTGCCCCAGGCATCTGAACCTTGGAAAGCAAAAGGGGCCAATCCTTGGACAACCAAAACCCATCATTCGTCTGTGCAGGGTGACACTTCAAACAAGGAGCAGCGTTGTGAACATTTGACCTTGAGTGCCTTTACCCCCCCAAAAAAAAAACAAGGAAGCGGCTTCTTTTTGCCCTGCAATGGTGTCCGTTGGCTCAGCGTTCTTTGGCCAGCCGCTTCTCCGTCCTCTTTACCTCTGCCAAGCTCGGCATCTTCAGCTCCTCACGCGGAGCAGTCAGCGGTGCGGCGGAGAATCCCTCAACGGAAACTCCCGGATTGCCCTCCCACCATGGAACCCGACAGGGGGTTCCTGGAAGACCGTTTTGCCTTTGAAAGGCACCTCCTGTCAGGTGCGTGGGAGGGGAAGAATCTCCAGAACATCAATTTGCAGGGGAGAAGAGGAAGATCTACCGGAATCCATTAAGGGCATGTTGGTAAGCTGCCCCAGGCCCATCATTTAAGGCGTAGTTATCATCTCCACACCTTCCAACGCTACCTGAAAATGCCCTTTAATCTAAGGGCTTTGTCAACAAGGCTCAATTGGGAATATCACTCATGGGGAAGTTGTGAAAGTTACTACTGTGCGTTCCTTGGAAACGACCCTAGGACAGGTGGTACCCTACTCAAAAAAAACACGAGCGGAAAGCGGCACTTGATCGACTTGTCGGAAGCGTTCCACCTTCAACTGCCCTGATCAACATGGAACCCCAAAATCCACCGTAGAGGAAACTCCTTTTGGGTCTCCCGGACGCCCCCAAAAAATTTCGGCCCCTCCGCTGATTTGTGGCGTGGAACTCTCTCGGACCGGACCAACTGCTTGTAGCTGCCACCGAGGCCTGGTGAAAGACGCGCTTGATCCATTTGATGGCCCTTGGGCCGCAAAAACCAACACCCAAACGGAGATCTCCCCCAACATCGACCCTAGAAAATCCATATTTTAAGACATGAGCTGAAACATGGGCATCCAAATATATAGGGGAAAAGTATGGATTTGGAGTAAATGGAAGTTTCAGACCGGAGGGATAGGATCAAGTTGCAAAATGAGGACAAGATTGGAGCATTGGAATCCTTGAAAGAGATTCTCAGGCCTGCGAAGCCCTCAGGCCTGCCGTCCCCACAAAGATGAACCCCATGAAGCTGAATCAAGAACCCCCCAATATACCTCAGGCAGGAGCTCCCAATCGGTTCCTTGGCATCTGCCGCCTCACGCAGCGTCTGGCAAAAGAGCTGGGCTACCTCCAACATATCGCGGCTCCGTAGGTGGTTCACCCAAAGCGCCTTCTCCTCGCCCGGCACAAGAAGCAAAACACGGTTAGGGGCGCAAAGAGGAATGGGATCCCCCGGAAAACAGCACAGCCCAGCCCTGATCTCAAAGATTCCCTACGCAAGCAATAAGACCGTCCACGACTGGGGCTTAATAAGCAAGGCTGGCGCCAAACAAGACCCAGCTGGACGACCACATTTAGCAGGCCAGCATCCCCGGCAAATAAGTCCCCAAAGCTAAATTTACAACTATATAAGTGGAACCACTTTGGGGCAGTGATCCAGGTACCGGGGGGAGGAGCCCATGGGCCCTTGACTCTTCAGGGCTCTCTCCCCCTCTCTCCCACCCGCTCCATTTCATGACTTCGGGGATGGTTGCAAGGAGAACCCGAGACCCTGGTTGTAGCCCTGGATTTAACCCATCCTGAGGATCTCCCTGCCCCAGGCCAATCGAGCCCACCTCGTCGAGGAATCCGAAGCGGCACATCAGCGCCAGCGTGGGCCCCTTTCCGCTGCCCTCGCCGCTGTAAGTGATGCCGTGCTCGAAGAGGAACGGGGAGCTGAGGTAGATGTGGCCTGCGGCCCGGACCCAGTGACCTGGTGCCCAAGACCCAAGCTGACTGATGCCATATAATCAAGTAGAACCAAGTAGAACCAAGTAGAACCAAGTAGAGCCAAGTAGAACCAAGTAGAACCAAGTAGAACCAAGTAGAACCAAGTAGAACCAAGTAGGACCAGACTCGGACCCCAGTTTTGTACTTGGACGGTCCCATGTCAGGAAAGTCATTGGTTGACTCCCCGGACATGTAACATGTTAAAGCCACGGCCAAAGGTTTTGAGGGACCCGTCAAACCCAAGGGTCACATGCATGGCGCGCAAACCTTGGATGGCACCGACGTGCACAAAGCGACAACCTCAAACGCGAACCAACGGGAAAAATGAAGGAAACCCAAAAACGAAAGGGCAAATGGGCAGAGAGAAATTCTACGGGCAGAGAGAAATGCAATGCGCATACATGACTTGAGCTGCCGCAAGCCTTGTTGAAGCCGCGCAAATCCCGGCCAGAAACGGCCAAAAAAGACTCTGAAGCTCGCCCCCTCTGAAACCGGTCCAACAAGTCAAATCCCCCCACAAACGGATCAAATCCCCCCAAAACAGGTCAAACCCCCGTCTAGAAGCCAATCGAGTCGCTTTGGACTGGAGCTGCCAGTCCTAGAAACCAGTCAGCCCTCTAAAACCCCAGGCGGTCTAGAAACCACTCAAATCGCCTCTAATAACCGGTCTCCAGAAACCGGTCCAATTCCTGAAACATGTGCAGCCCGCGCGTATTCCGGTGCCGACTCACTCGATCAAGCAAACACCACACTTCAAGGCAAACCAAAACACTGCAATTACCTCAAAGACGGCCAAAAAGCATTCTGGCCTTCTGGCGGGCAACTCGAAGGGATTACAAGAACACTTGGGTCGGAATAGTACAGTCGGGCGCCGGGCAAGTCACGATTATCACCATGGTTTACGAGATAACCCAAGTTGGTTCGTATATGGGGGTGTCTTTCTTTGAGGGCAATTACCCCTTTCTGTTGTCGGAAGATCGAAGCCATTGTAGGGGTCCAAATCCTAAAAAACGACTCACCCATATGGCTCCATGGTCGGAAGATACTTCCCTGACGTGGGCAAGGAATATCCAAGTATCAGCTTCCCTCTAATTGGTGGTTTGGTTTGGCGGTTGCCCATGTAATTTTGACCCCCCGCTAACCTCCGATCAAAATCAACCAGAGCCTCATTAATTGGGGTCGACATTACCCTCTACAAGACTTGCTGGTGCTCAGTAGGGAATGAGGGAATGAACCTGGGCGTCCCCGTAAAAGGAAACCACCAGTTGGATGGTGTACAAGAAGAAGGTGTTCAACTCCAAAAGCAGGACGCCCCATGATTGGTGGCTTGGCTTGGTGGTTTGGAAGCCAAAGGGTAGCTTCCCCCACTCTACAAGAAGGAGGTGTCAAATCCAAAACCACCGCGCGCCCCAAACCGCAAAGCAACGACCTGACAGCCCCGCCTGGCGCCATCCACAGCTCTTGGGTCCAGCTCTCCTCGTCGCTGGTTTCGCCCCACGCCCGCAGCTGCAGCCGGCGCCGCCCGCTGAGGGTGATCCTCAAAGGCCCGGGCAAGGCCTGCCACTTGGACCCTTCAGGTGGCCGATGACGGTGCCGGATTGCATCTCTGAGCAGTGACAAACAACCAACCAACCAACCAACCAAACAAACAAACAAACAAACAAACAAATATACAAACAACAAATCAAGCAAGCACAGACAGAAAGACAAAGAGACAGAAACACAGACAGAGAGACAGAGAGACAGTTTTGCGAAGAGACAGAGAGGCAGAGAGAGAGAACTAAAAAAAGAAGAGAGCAAGAGAAAGAGAGAGAGAGAGAGAGAGAGAGCGAAAGGGAGACAGAGAGACAGAGAGACAGAGAGACAAAGCAAACATGAACATACAACAAGGAAAACAAACAAAACCAAGAGGAATAAAGGGGGAGGGAGATGAGAGAGGGAGATGAGAGAGAGAAAGAAACGCAGGCCGCAACACAGCCAGGCGGAAAAATGGGGCTGCCACGTCGAGGCTCCCGAGGTGTAGCAGGCCAGTGGCCCCATCTTTGTGCCAGTGCATCTCCTTGTGCCCCGGCGGCCCCGCCTGAAGCATGAAGATGACTCCAAATGGGCGAATGGATCCGATTTTGTCTGAGGCGAAGGGTACCCACTCGTGGGTTGGTTCTAAAGAAGCACCCATTTTTGGAGGGAGCCCTAAAAATCGACAAACCCGAATGGAGAAACCCCAAAATCTTGTTTAATGTTGAGCCAGGAAGGCCCATGCTCGCAGGCAAAAGCGCGGAATCCGAAAAGGGGGCCAACAAAATTAGCCTATAAATGGACTATACAGGAGTTGTTCAGCGGCAATGCCCAAAACAACCTTGTTGAATATGTGTGCTGTTCTTCGAGGCGTAGGGTTCTCTCAAAAGGCCGGGTTGGTTTGGGAACCAAAACGCCACCATCCATTTCCGAGGTCCGATGTTGAGACCACTAGACAACCAACCCACTTGGGTATGGCTCAAAATTAAACAACTGGGGTTACGCGGGATTTAGTCCTTGGTTCCATCTACCAAGGGGCCATTTTGGTATCACTTTTTGAGCCACAGCCACTTTACGAACTTAGGAAGTGGTTGCCATCCTCACTTAAGCCCCCGGTTTTTGGGGCTGTGCCCGTGAAACCCACGCAATGGGATCGAATCACGCCAGGCATGTGAACTACCTCCATGTAGAACCGTGGTTGCCCGACGGACACCTAGGCATTTGATATGAACCAGTTGCTGACGACCTGCTATTGGGGAAACGCCTGCGCTCCACTAGATTTTGGTTGGCAATGGCCAGGAAGGAAAAAACCCACAGGCAGCCACAGAACCATTGTAATTTGCCTTCGGTGAGAAGGCTTTGCTTGTTCCCGCTTGCAAGATTTGCAGGGGTCGCTGGATGTCCCTCCAAAACTTGCAATCTACCTGCGCATTTCCACCAGCTACCACTTTCGGAGTTTCCACCTGTGGCACTTCTCCGGCAGCTCCCACAAAACAAGAAGAAAAAAAAACGCCCGCGGGGTTGAGGGGGTTGAGGGTTGTTGGGGTCGTCCCCCCCCATTTGTGTCCGCCACTTTGACTCACGCACGCGCAGAAGCCCGCACCTGGGCCTCGATGGCGCCGAAGAAGCCCCGCTCCTCGAAGTGCTCGATGAGCAGCGTCAACAGCCGGCACCTGGCCAGCCAACATCGCGACTCGCGCAAGGTGCTTTCCGGAAAGCTGCGCAGTTGTTTGTCCTTTTTCTTTGAAAGGATTGAAACTGAAGTAAGAATTCGGATCCGCAAGGAAAGGAAGCCCAGTGTCATGGTGAGCTCGTTGTAGGGCCAGGTGAGCTCGCGAAATAGACCACCGCCCCCCCTTTGGGGACTCCATACAGCTTGCGCTCCTTACTGTCCCCAGCGAAAATTTGCTGTTTCAACTTTGCACGCAAAAAGAAAGGCTCATAGGCCTTGTGTGGGATTGTCCAAGGATTTGAATTGTGTGTGAAGGGCTGGTTTGATTCATCAACCCCTGGGTTTAGCGGAGAATGATCACGGTCGGGGAATACCCCCCTATTCATAGGGCGGTTTATTTCTCTCGGGTCAACATTCAGAGGAAACCAAACGAACAACCACAATTTGTAGGGGGCCGAATGAGGAAACATGGGTGCACCAGGTACCACTTTTACGGTGGTTCCAGCTCTGAACATTCATAGTAACAAACCCCCCAACCGGGATCCCAAAGAACCTGATTTGGGGTTCATAAGCTTTGGGGAGTCTTTGGGGGATTGCTTGAACCACCTTTCAAGGACACAGAGCACCCCCCGTCAGGTTCCAAGTTGGTGGGAAGGCGCTTCTTGTGGCAAGTCAACCCCTGACAAGGGAAAATGAAAGGCTGCTCAATTCGGGCAAGATCTTGCCCCCCCCCCCCAAAGACACATCCAGAAAGCACCAGTCATGAGACAGGCCGCCCGCAAGTTCGACGCTGCACTCAGCCTCAACTCAAACGCGAATGGCTCACTTCCTGAAGAAGGGCAACCAAAGCTCTGTCTTTCCGATCGAATTCACCCTCCTGGAAAGTGCTCTAAGGCTCAAGGCTACTCAAAATGGGCACGGGCGGCTGCTTTACGGGGCGCCTTGTTTCTGATTGCCTAAATGCCCTGTCAGCAATCAAAAGTCCGTTTGCTGTCCAAATTGCACCGGGGTCGCCGCATAATTAGCAAAGCCACGTGTGTCAGTTTCTATCCGGGGAAGGAGGACTCGTCTCCGCCACAATATGTCCGTACTCAGTCCACGCGTTTTGATTCTTCCGTATGTACGGAAAAAGCAAAACAGTTGGTGCTTGCTCTCGTTTCTGCGGTCTGCGCGCTTTTGCTTCTTCCATACATCTGCGGAAAACAAAATTGCCCAGCGGGGCGGTGAAGCAATTTGGTGCCATCGGGTTTCATCTGCCTGAGGATGTCATCCGGCTTCTCCGCCAGCAGCTCCCGCAGCCCGCGGGCCATCCGCTGCCACACCGCCTCGTTCACCGCGCGGAAGGCCTGGGGAAATCGGCCGCGAGGCGAGCGCCAAGCTTCGCGGGGGCCGAAGAAGCCGCCCGGCGCGGCGTCCAAAGCGAAGAATTGGGGGGACGGGTTTTGGGGGGTTTGGTCAAAGCTGACCCAAGTAGGTTCCAGCGCAAAATTTGCAAGAAGCGGCTAAAGTTTACGAATTGAGGAACCCCTTTGGGTGATTCCCTCATTCCTGCTGAGCACCTGCGGTCATGCTTGTTTGCTGCTCCAAAGTCTGGACTGTCTTTGGGCTATGGGTCTTTTCGAACGGCGCGCCCTTGCCGCGGACTCTTACGCCGGCTACCGTCGCGCAAGCTTTCAAATGGGTATGGGTCAAAATTAAACCACCAGAAAACCGCAGGTTTTCGTCCATGCTTCCATTTACCAAAGTTCTATTTTGGGTCCCGCTTTTTTAACCCGCTGCCAAATATTCGAAAGATGTTGGGATACGATACGCGTCAAACAGCACCCACGACAACACTCCCGGGCCCCGCGGGCGGGCGAATTACTTATTGGGGCTTGTGCGTGGCACGTCTGCCGGTGCAGGTCTACTTCGTTGAAACAGAGAACAAGGCGCCGTAGGTCCTGAGCTAAGCCCTGAGCAAGGCAAGGCCGTACGATCACATCGCTGACAGAGGCCCGAAATGTTAATTCAACAATGAATCAGATGTGTACCCCTTGGAGCCTCTCTAGCACCTTACAGCAAGGAATGCTCCCACGGAGGCCGCGCGACCATGGAAAGGAAACCATTGTTAGTTCTAAGCTGCCAAAAGTATGACTGTTCGTGGCATAAATGGAAACCGCCGCGAAACCCCGAAAAAAACACATAATAAAGTTCAGGGGATGGCTGGGAACCACCAAGAGTTGGTGTTGACGCCGGGGAAGCGAGAATCCTTCCGTGGAAAAACGTCTCCTCGGCGCGCGGCCGAAGCGCCTCCAGCAGCGCCATGGTCCGGTTGGGCGCCTTCACCACCTCAGCGAGGAAGCCACCGCTGACATGTTCAGAAATGGCACCCCGGCACAACATGCGGCTGCTGGGGGCAAAACCGTTTTGGTACCCAATTTTGGTTGGTAGGTGAACTCACCACCCATTTTGGAACCTATTTTACTGGTTGGATTGGGTCCCGTTCACTGGGGGTACGATTTGGATTTTGACCCATGGCCATGTGGGCTACGGGAAGCTCTATTTGCCCTTTTCGGGTCACGACTCCTTCAATCACGGGTTTCATGACACGCCAAACCATCCGCAGTATGAGTCATCCTGCGGACCCCGCCAACCGGAAAAACGTGCAACGATACTTTTAGCAACTTGGCCTCCGTCAGCTGAAAAAGATCTACCGGATCCAGAGATGTAGTTGCCAAGTACTTGCTTCCTAGAGGTGTGTCCCTAACCTTTCAACCCTCGCTATCGGTTTTGGCCTTCGGTGTGACCTGTTTTTCTGGTGGTCGCCCTCCTGCCCCCCCCGCCCCCGGCCTCCGCCACTGCGTTCTTCCGCGGCACGAAGATCTCGTAGCGGTCGCCCCAGCGCGGCACCGAGTGCCAGTCCGCCTGGCGGTCGCTCGGTCGCTGGGCCGAGCTCACGCTCGCTCACAGCCCGAGGCGGGGTTTTGGGACTCCCAGTGGAAGTCTCTCAGGGAGGTTGGGTGAGGCGGACCCAACCAATTGCAGAGAGCTTGTTGGAAGAGCCAGCGAAAAGTTCCCATCTGTACTGACCTCAAGAAGGATTGCGCCACTGGTCCCACTGACTGACATTGAGCAATGCAGGCTCAAAGGTTTGGATGCGCAGATGTTATTAACAGGTCTTCAATCCGCCGCTTGGAAATCAATGGTACTCTGCCGCTTAAAACCGGGCGCCAAGGCCCAGCACGTAGGCGTCCGATGACCAAAATAGATGGCACAAGTTTAGCCACAAGGTCCAACATCCAACAGGATAATTAGGCGACAAAAAACCTGTGGACTGTTTTTGTTGTGCCATCCACCCCCGAAGTATACCTCCGAATCGTGCCATCGATTCTCCGGCTAGAGTAATAGAAAAACAAGAGCATGTTTTGCCTTTTTCTACCAGAAAGGATGGCCACTTTGGAGCACATCAACGACCAAATATTGTATATAGTTAGAGCATAACTTTCCCATCTTTTTAATACCCCCCCCGCCGGCCAACATCATACTTTACTACATACTTTTCATCACAATCAACCACATCAACTCTATTTTCAAACAGCAACCCACAACAATATTAAATAATTTCACCATACAAGTTTCATCACAGCAAACCATCACATAATTTTTCATCATTGGCTGGGAATAAAATTATACAATAATTTTATCCCCAAAAAAGATGGGAAAGCTGTCCCTGCTAGAAAAAAAGAAAACATAAATCTTACAATGTTTTTTATTGTAAGAATTATGGAAGTAGTTTTAATTAAACAAATGTCAGTTTATTCCACAGGTAATTTCCCCACCCCGAGGGGATTTTTTTCCCCACCCCTAAGGGAAAATTTTCCCCACCCTAAAGGGAGATTTTGAAATTTTCCCCTGACAAGGGGAAACAGGGATTTTGTTCCCCACACTCAGGGGAAACTCTTTTCCTATAATCTTAACCCGCATCCGCCCCGCTGAATACTTCTAATAAGTTCATATTATTAGAATTATCTAGATTTTAATTATTCATCATAGAATAAATGGTGTATTTCTACAAGGTCTTTGTTTTCACCTTGTTCTATTCTTTCAATATGTTTATTGATTACTTTTTCTAGCACTTTCATTCTTGTTTCAAACATTGGGTTTTTGGATTTACCATATTTATCAATGAATTTGTCAGGATTATATCTAATGAATATGTATTTACCAGAAAAGTCCATAAACAAATCATTGTATCTATTGTTTTCTTCTTGTTTTATGTAATATTTATGTTGGTTTTCATCAACTTCAATACACAGCATTGTATTATTAATTAACTTTCTAAAATCAATTCTCCTTTTTGTAGCACAGCATCCACCTTCTAAATCAACATAAAAAGGTTTGTCATTCTTAAACCCTTCATATTTAGAATACAAATGTGTCATAACTTGAATTTCTTTTGATTTCTTCCTTACAGTTAATGTTCTGGGGTCATCAGGAAATAGATTAGCAAAACAATGACTACAAAATCCATTTAGTTTTCTATTTCCTTTTGTTCTACATCCTGTGTTGTATGGTTCGTGTCTTGATTTACATATTAGACTTCCACCACAATCTTTACAATATTTTCTAGTCATACCGTGCTCACAAATTTGACTACCTCCACAATCCTTACAACAATACTTAATCCTTCCGTGCTCGCAAATATCATTGCCTCCACATTCTTTACATTGAGCTCTTCTTCTCTTATGCTTGCAAATTTGACTGCCCCCGCAATCTTTACATCTGTCTCTTCTTTTTCCGTGCTCGCACACCTGACTTCCTCCACAATCAGCACAATATTGCTTTCTCTTGCCGTGCTGACATATTCCAACACCACCACAATCTTTACATCTGTCTTTTCTTCTACCGTGGTCGCACTTTGAATGCATATTACTGACTTACTATTTAACATTCATTTGCCTTTAAATGTGAATAATTCTAATAAGTTCATATTATTAGAATTATCTTGGTTTTAATTTTCTAAATATACATATTTATCCTCTTCATTCTTAATTAGTTTATAATATTCTAGTGTCTGGTTCTTTGGCTGTTTGATTTGGCCTTTATTCAACATATCACAGTATTTCTTACGCGTTTCCTCAAAACTGCCGGACGGCCTACCGATAGATTTTGCTTGAAAGATTTTATCCATCTTCTCCTTTTCTTCATTGTTGTTTTTGGGTTCTACAGATTTAGCATCCAGTTTTTGGTCTAATGTTTTAACAATTTCTGACAACGCTTTAACATTCTTACTAATAATTATAAGCTTTTTCATCAAATCGTTCATAGTGAAATTTTCAGCTTCAGACATTATATATTTATTTATATAATTATTTATTTAAATATATATTTATTAAATTGATTTAATGTAAAATCTAGTCTTTATATACTAATTTTTCATTATTCTTTCTCAGGTGTAAATAACCTACAAAATCCACTTTTGAAGTTTTCTACCCAACTTTCTTCAACTGTGCTTCCGTCGGCATCTTTCTTTTTTACTGTATGTATTGTATGCATGTTTCTACCACATGAACACGGCCAACATTTAACTTTAACATGTGCTTTATCTAATTCTAATTCATTTAATGGTTTAATTGTTTGACCGCATTTATCGCATTTGACACATTCAATCTCTTTTTGTTTCTCTTGCTTCTTCTTTGGAGGCATGTATATCAATGTTGATATTTTTTATTGTTAATATTCATCATAAAATAAGTGGTAGATTTCTATTAATTCTTTATTATCTTCTTTGTTAATTCTTTCAATATGTTTATTAATTGCCTTTTCTAACACGTCCATTCTTGTTTCAAACATTGGATTTTTTGACTTTTCATATTTATCAATAAATTTATCTGGATTATACCTAATGAATATACATTTACCTGAAAAATCCATAAACAAATCATTATATCTATCTTGTTCATCTTGTTTAATGTAATATTTATGTTGGTTTTCATCAATCTCTATACATAACATTGTATTATTCACTAACTTTCTTAAATCAATTCTTCTTTTTGTTGAACAACAACCACCTTCTAAATCTACATAAAATGGTTTGTCATTTTTAAAACCCTCAAATTTTGAAAATATATGTGTCATTACTTTTATTTCTTTTGACTTGTTCCTCACATTCTTTGCTTTTGGGTCATCAGGAAATAAATTAACAAAACAATGACTACAAAACCCGCTCAATTTTCTATTTCCCAACGTTCTACACATTGTGTTATAGGGTTCTTTTCCAGACTTACATATACTGTTTCCATTACATTTAACACATCTTGTTCTAAATGCTCCATGCTCACAAATTTGACTACCTAAGCATTCCTTACACATGTTTTTTCTTTTGTTATGTTGACAAAACTGACTACCACCACATTCCTTACAACTGGACGCTATTCTATTATGATGACAAATTCCACTACCTCCACAATCTTTACATATGTATCTTATTCTTCCATGTTCACATACTTTACTACCATTGCACTCTCTGCAAGTAGACCTGATTATGTTATGTTCACATCTTTGACTACCATTACAGTCTTTGCATATGTATTTGATACGATTATGCTCACAATATGCATTACCACGACACATCTTACATGAACGTTTGATTTTTCCATGGTCACATATTTGACTACCGTTACAGCGTTTGCAATTGTATTTGATTACAGAATGTTCACATAATTGACTACCACCACAGTCTTTACAGTAATCCTTCCTTTTGTTGTGAACACATAACCCAACGCCTCCACAATCCTTACACACATATTTACGAACACCATGCTCACATTTTGTTGAACTCATAATACTCTACCACTTTATATGTTTCATTGTTTAAGTGTTTTTTGATTTACGGTTCTTGAGAAATTCTACACCTAGTTTCATTATTTCTAAAACAAAATAGCATACTTTCTTACATCTATTATCAGTTATAACAACTTGTTCTATATTCTCTACTTCATCTATTATATTAATATAATCAGAATAACTCCTTTCCATATAAATAATAATATATATTAATATAATATGACTGGATTATCTCAAGAACAACTGGATAATATATTTAGGGGACATTTCAATGCTTTATCAAAATTAAAAATAATGGGTTATTATCCTAAATATATTTTTGATATTGGAGCGTGTAAAGGACACTGGACCGACCAAGCATTAAAAATATTTGATAAATCAAGTTATTTTTTATTTGAAGCGACAGACCCCATAGAAATGAAAAAATATAATACTTATGACGACGATATTAAATGTTTTCCTAATACGATTTTATACGAAGATATTAGACTTATTGATTGGTATGGTGATAGTATTAACAAAGAAAGAACGGGTAAATATGTTGATGCAACACCAGAGCAAAGAACAACCGTTAATTTAGACACTATATTAAAAGCTAATGATATTACATTAGAAAAAGCATTCATTAAGATTGATACACAAGGAACTGAAATAAATATTTTGAAAGGTTTAACTAATTATGATGGTGTTGATTTTATTGTTTTAGAATTACCTTTTTTCGGTCAGTATAATGAACACCCGCCTAACTTTTTAGAGCATATACAATTTATGGATAGTATAGGATTTATTCCTTATGAAGTCTGCCAGTTGCATAATATGGGCGCTTTCAATATTCAAATAGATATTTTATTTATAAATAAGAAGAATGAAATCAACAATTTAATTCAACCTTTTTTGATAAATAATATTAAATAATAAGATAAATTATAATTAATCTTATTATTTAGAATACTCGGGGTTCGCCATCGTTTCTCCTCCTCGGGGTTGGGCTCTTCACTGCACATATAAGCTGGGCTTAAACTAATTCAAACTAATTAGCTTCAATGCTTATTGATTGAAGCAATGGAAAGCCTGTTCTA